GGCGAGGACAAGGACTAGGAGAAGAACAGCGATTTAGAGATCGAACAAAATCTTGGATTATCACTGATTTATTTTATTATTTGCAGCAATCATTCCTAAAATTGTCACCACTATTCTCGAGACAGGCGTCAATAGAATTTTCATCGCAGGGATCACTGAAGATGTCATTGAAGGTTTGCTTTTCGATGTCTACAAGACAAAAGGTTATAATTTAAGATCAAATGTAACTCCAATCGCTCCGACAAAATAAGTAGCGGTCTCTGTAAGAGCGGTCCAGGCAATTTCACGATGAAGAGCATTTTTGCCTTAAACTTTGACCATTAAACTATCTTTGGTAGTAAGTAAATAAAGCCACATTAATTTCTTTATAAAAAAATTTTGACAGCTCTCAATAATCAAAGCTGCAAAAGGCCCTTTTTTGACCTCTTGCGACATCGAAAATTTCAAGTTGCAAGCTCGCTCCTCTCAACACAGTGCATGCAGCAAGAATTGTTTGTTTTCCTTAATTTTGTGATATCTAAGGAATTTTAAAAGGATTTCAATTTTGGTACGTGTTTATTCAGAGCTTCGCCATAATTTATTTAAAAACACCCGTTAGACAGCTTTCTGGAATTGGTCAAAAGTACTCTTTCTTTCTTGGGTGACATTTCTCAAGTCCAGACTGGAAAATGAAAAAATCCGGTTGACTTTTTCTGATGATCAAAAGCATAGAAATGCAAAAACATATTGTAATTATTGATTTCCTTTGCCGTAGTGACTTCAAACTTTTGGTTATTTTGCTAACGTGACAGCAGAATTATGCAAACTAGTCTGTTGAGCAAATTCCGACCGTTCTATATTGGTGGCTTCATAAATCTTAGATTTTAACCATTTTTAAAAGAAAAGATCATAAGGTAGAGCTTTTAGAACACACTGATTGACACTGATTGATACTCTGAAACATTTTAAACGGTTAAAATCTGGCAAATGATTCTGTCTCGTATCTAATATCGTATTGATCAGCGTTCGGTCAACGTTTTAGTGAGAAAGTCTTTTTGAAGAATTGGTTTCTGTTCTTTCATATTTGAGTTTAGAGAGCTTAAGCTATTCAAGCCTGAATGAACATTTCAGAACCAAACTACAAGATTTTGTTCAGCATGACCGACGATAACAGTATTAGACTCAACAAGCAGTTCCTCCTTTTCGGCGAAGTGCGTTGCGCGAGTCGAAAAATTCACGGAAGAGAAAGTTAATGTTAGTGCCTCACTTCAAGAGCTTTGGTTTTTTATTTTTTTTTCTGACTCGCGAGACGGATTTCGCCGAAAAGGAGGGACTGCTCGTAATCTATAACGGCACAACCTGAAATTCACTTTGACCAGTGACTTAGTCACATAATTCAATTGTGTACTTCTCCCACCTGAATGGTGGTAGCAATAACGTCATTGTTTGCTCGCAATTCTACCCTAGTTCTTCCACGCTATCAGCCTGTTTGCACTTGATGGGAGCAGAGAAATACAGGACTTTAGATCAGCGAGAAGGAATGTCCAAGATCCAGTGCAAGTTTTCACTGCATGCATTGACAGCATCGCCGACGCCTTTTGCAGCTTTGATCATTGAGAACTCTCGAAGTTTTTTCTTAACGCATTTCTAAAAACCAATGAAGTTTTATTTACTTAATACCAAAGATAGTGTAATGGGTAAAGTTTGAGGCAAAACTTTTTTCCTATGCGAAATGCCCTCGGCCGCCCTTTTATAGAGATCGCCACTGAACTGTATTAAGTTAAACCTAACAAGATATCGAATGTGGCTTCCATTCCAATTTATGACAAGGAGGCAGTGGACAGTTTATTCTAGCTTGAATGTTGTCAAAATAAGCTTACATCTGTAAGCGTAAATGATAATGGTAGAGTAAAAAAATAAAATAGATAGAAACGTTAACTAAGTAAAAATATCTTCAAATTATCAAAAATTGTCAAATAAAAAGTGACCCGGAATTGTCCAAGTAACAGATTACAGTTATTCTTTGCTTCATTAGTCAGACATCTTTAATTTTCTGTACAGCTTTGCCATGACAATAACCCTCTCAAGCCCAATTAGGTGACTATTCAAGCAGGCATTTCTTTCATGCTGGTTGATGCACCCAGTTTTGCTGAAGAGCTTCAGAAAATCACTGAAAAATATCTTATCTAATCTATTGTGTCCAAAATGTCACCAAAGCCACGAAGAAGCCTTGAGCAGGATTACCTTTCCCCAAACATAAAGCCAATCAATGCACCCTTATTTAAATGAAAGAGAAGAGATTTCTTGGAAAGAAAAGAGAGGAAATTACGAGGCGTTGTAAATTTTGGTATAGCAACTCAACGGCGATTTATTTAATCACCCAGAGGGAGTGGCTTTCAATAAATATTCAATGAAGAATGAAATGAAAAATAACCGATGAACGCTTCAACACCATAATTCGATAAAATAAACCTGAATTTATGCATTTTCAAACTATTTTTTACCGATCTAGCCCTAGTTTGCATCATATGTTGGCATATGTTGGATAGATGATTCTTTGTTTCTTAGCCTCACAACTCTCCTACCCATTTAATCTACTCAAGTATATTAGAGAATCTTGACTTAAAGTCGGACCTCCACTAAGGGTGACCTCTCAACAGCAGCCCACTCTTTTTCTTTTGCCAGTCGGACATCGCCCCCTTAACGAACCTATTTACCAAAGCAAACTATTTCTCTTAAGATGTTGAGGGAACCCATGTTACTTAAAGGTCGTTTGGAGCACTTTGCAATCTTTTTCAGGTTATCTGCAATCTTTTTTCATTTAAAAATTCCTTTATTTTCTTGGATTACCTGAAACAGATTGTAGAGAGCTCTAAATGACCGTTAGGTAAAATGAGCTCCTTTGTCATCTTAACCCTTTACACTCTAAAATTAATATGCATATTCTCCATAATATTCTCTTTACATTTCCTAAGGTGCTGACAAGGAGAATTTGTTTAACAATCAAGAGTTTCTCAAATTTGTGATCACTTCCTTTATTCTCATGACCTTAATGTGTGATTCAGGGGTGATATTGTAAGGAGAATTTAGATGCAAGTCACCCTTAGGGATCAAAGAGTCAACATAAAATTGTTGCGTTGGTAAAAAGGTTCATTAAGGGAGGAATGTCCGCTTGTTTTCGGACATCATTAGAAATCGCTATTTTCTAATAATTTTCCCTCTACTTAAAAACATTCATAATGAAAAATCTTGCTGTATGAACACACACACTACTTAATCAGATCAATTTGCATTAGATATTCTTTCACAACAACGAAGGATTTTGTTAATTTTCCATTGTTTTCGACCATTTAAATGACCTGCTTTTCTCAAAGAATTATTCCTCTATTAAAAGACATTCGCAATAAAAACCCTTTTGTTTTGCTAACATCTACACAAACTAAATTAGGTTAATATGTATTTCATATTTGTATCACAACAATTAGGGTTTTCTCTATTAGAATTTAGTATGCCTGTTTTTTTTTCCGTATTTCTTTACATATGACAACTATTCGCTCAGTGTGATAAAAATCATTGCCGTTGAGGCTGCTATACAACGACTTGAAACTTAATATATTTTCTCTCCACGAAATCTCTTCTTTGAGGCTGGATTGCTTAAAGACTTGGGGAAGGAAAGTTATGCTTCAGGGCTTCTTCAAAGATTTGGTGACAACTTGGACATCTTAGTGTAGAAAAGCTATTTTCAGAGATTTTCTTGGAAGCTCTTAAGCAAAATTAGGTTCATCAACCAGTGGAAAAGAAATGCCAGCTTGAATAGTCACCTAATTGGATTTGAGAGGGTTATTATTATGGCAAAGTTGTATAGAAAATTAAAGATGTCTGACCCTACCAAGACTAATGAAGCACAGAATAACGGTATTTGTTACCTGGGTAACACTCGATCATTCAGTATGAGACAATTTTTGATAATTTTTAGATATTTTTACTTAGTTAACGTTTCTATCTATTTTATTTTTTGACTCTACCATAATCACTTACGCTTAGAGTTTTAACTCTCGACCATAAGTTCACATGAAACGTTTAACGAAAGTTGATAACGTCAAAAATTCATCTCGTTCCAGCCAATGCTTATCATTCTATGAATTTAACTAATGACTCTTATCGTCAGACTTCACCTGCGCGAGCCAATTAAAACTCAGCCCATTGGCTTGAATCAAACACGCGGTTCGGGAAGTGATCTTATCAAAACAGTTTATTTAAGCGTCAGCGTTTCCAGGCCCAGCTAAGATAGAAAACTAGCTGTCCGACGACAAATTGGTGTTTGGAACTTGTAAAAAAACTTTGCATAAGGTGGGTCCATAATCTGAGCTTGTCCATAATCCATGTGCGCGTGTGTATTATGTCGGTTGATACATCGGTTAGGAGTTTAAGTTCACCTCAACACTCTGTCTTCATATTTTCTTTTATTCCTTTTTTAACAGATTTTAGTGAACGACGCGCTGACGCCGTTTGATTGCGTGCGAATCTTTTCCCATGCTGCTTGCTTCGCCTTCTTCGTCACTGGCGACGAAAATGGCGCCAAAACTATCATTATGTGTTCCCTCGCGATCTGAGCCAAGAGCAGCTTCTGCTATTTGGATAACTTGCTCAATGATTCTTTCAAAACTAAAAGTGAGAAATGAAGCAAAGCCGCAGATATTGAAAGGTCAACAGCGATTTTTAATTGCATATGTAAAAAATAGACTTAAATTCAAACGGACAGTAAAAGAGGCTCTCAATTGGGTTAACCATTAACTGTAAAATGGCAAAACAAAAATTAGCCGTTAGGGGGAAGAATTGACAAATTTTAACAGTCATAAAACGCTGAAATAAAACGTGAAAATTATTTCTTTTAAAATTAACAGAAATAAATCAACCGTTTGCCGTAAAATGCCATGATCACCCTATTGAGATCCCTCTCTGAAGTCCACGATTGTAATTTACACATGTATACTGACTCGAGATACACGCGTAAATTCTAGTGTGGAATATTGTTTTACTAAATCCTTGCATTTACAAGCCCGGGTTTACCCATTTAAATGACTCGTGTACAAACTACAAGAGTGTTTTCTTCATCAAATTGACTGGATTTACCATGAAAAGCGTTAATTGCGTGAACACTCTATGCATTTATCGTCAACTTTTCATATTCTTTGCCTAAATACCCTTTCATCGTTTCTATCGCTCTCAAGCAAACGCGATAATAAAATTTTAGTGAAACAGTCGCATCTGTATCAATGAAAGTGTACTAAAGTTGTGGTAAAATAATCTGCTCTCTTTATTTGCTTCCAATTTGTTAATTGGTAGGTGATTCAAGATGTTGTTCCATTACGGGTTCCTCGTTTTGCCATTTTGCTACATGATGGTCGCTGAACCGCACCGCAGCACAACGGGAGAAAACGACTTGAATCAAGAGGAGCGGACGAAAATGGAGAAAAGACTTGAAGGCTTGATGACCACTGTACAGGACGAAGCAGAACAAAAAGATTCCGTTGAAGAGGCACCATTGCCTGACACAGATGATAACGCTCTTCAAGAGCATGGTTTTGTTGAAGCAAGTTTTCTAGATGGAGGTGCACAAAGCAAAACATTAATAAGGCAGAATACCAAAATACTTAGGGGGCGCCGGAGAAGAAGACGAAGAAGGTCTAGAAAACCACAAATCCCTGTATGGAAAAGACTCTCTGTCCGGCGAAGAAGATCTTTCAGTGATAACGGTCATTTTAAAAGAGTGGTTGAAATAATCCAAAAAGACAAAGAGAACAACGATGAAGAAATAGAAGACAAACAAACACTCCAAGATGGACAAATTGAAGAAGAAGAAATACAAAACGACCGAGAAAACAACCATGAAAATACACAGCAAAAAGGTGTATACGAGGACGGAGACATGGAGGATGGAAAATACAGCAAGATATAAAAAACCAAGACGAACAGCAAAAGAAAAAGTAAACAAAGACGGAGAAAACCAAGATAGAGACAACGAATGGATGACCAAAGAATACAGCAATATCGAGAAAACGATGACAAAGAAACACAGAAAAATGAATAATACAAAGAATACGAATGACAAACTCAGTTAGACAAATCAGATATATCGTAGGATTTAAAATGGAAGAACTGCGACTCATTTAGCGTAATACAATCAAACTTTTAATGCATTAAGCGATCAACATGTACTGAGCGGTCACACACGGGGAATGGCGGGATGACCACTTGATAAAGGTTGACTGTTTATTACAGGTTCCACAGAATAGCGGTAATAAAGAGTCATTTTATGCTATAATTGACTACTAAAATTGGTTTTAGGAGAGAAACGTGGATTAAAATTTACTTGAAATATTATTTTTAGTTTTTATTTGAGAGGTTCCGCTTTTACCAATCGTTCAATACAGGTGGAAGACAAAACAGAAAGGCCGTTGGGACTCAATCAAAGAAGACCAGGACCTCTTAATAGAGGTGACCGCTTAATAGAGGCGAAAATTAAAGTGATTAAGAGGGAAAAAACTCGAGACTTTGACAACCGACCGCTTACTACATGCGGTGAGTGATTTACCGCTTGATAAAGTGCCGCTTAATACAGGTTCGAATGTATAAGCTTAACAATGGTATAAAGCCTAAAAGTCTCACGAAGTAAAATGTTGTATTGTTAAGATAACAAATGCACAAACAAAGCCTCATCAAATTTCTTTGTAACCCATAACACTAAGCGGTCCAAGCAAGAGAGCTCTCGGGCCGCCAACCTTCATATTATTTACATATGAATGGCGTAATGTGCATTAAAAGCTCACTTGAATTTTACTTCTTACATCTGTTTTTGCCTTTCCTGTTCCTCTTTCTACCCTAACTACCTGAAGCGTTTGATAGCAAATCTTCCTAGAATTGATCTTGGAACGTGCCCCTTTGGGGCGCAGATGGGAGGTCAGTAGAAAATCCGTATAATATCTCAACCGGTTCGAAACGTTATCCCTAATGTTGGGCAATCATTTTTGTATAGTAAGAAAAACTAATGCGCAAACTTTCAAAACTTCATATCTGTTAAAAAAGGTTTCACTTGACTACCAAACCAACTAATCCGTAAGACTGACAGCGAATCTTGATTTTACAACAAGCTGGATATTCGTTAAATCCAGAATTTTACCGAGATAAAATTATGACTAATTAGTTTGTTTATCCACTTCCTTTTCTATCGTAAAAAGCAAGGCAAGTGTGAAGCATAATTGACTGCGCCTGATATTATCAAAATCCAATATTATTCTGAAAAAAGAATGATATTTGATAAGCACGATGAGCAATCAACTATTTCGGCATGCCTCACATATAACTCAGTCTAGGAAAATCTTTGCGTTGTTAGAGGTGTTTGTCGTCCCATAAACGGGGATTTACGAATTAAGCTTCATGAAACCGATCGATGGGTTTAAAATTGTATCATACCGTGATTCCCTTATTTGCCATCGTTTGCCGAACGTGACTTCTTACCTGTTAATTTAAATACTGCGTCATTCATTGCAACTGCTGAATAAATAGGTGTTGTTAGAATATGGGTATCTAAAAAGTAATATTGATTATTGTATTGAGAAAGTTGTCTTTGTCGCAGTTGATTCCACATAATCTCGATCACTGAAGAAAAGAACGTGTAAGAAAGCAAATTTTACAATGGTGAATGTTAGCTTGAATGGGATCTACGAGGTAACACTGTCGGTGACCTGCGCCGCCTCAACCAAAGGAAACCAATTCTTGTTTTCTCTAACAGCTTTAAACTTTCTCCTCGCCATTTCAGCGTCTCTGGGAAATGCTGTAATCTTTTTTGCCTTGCGAAAGATTTCTTCTCTTCAGCCAGCATCGAAACTCATGTTTCAATGCCTGGCAGTTACTGATTTTTGTGTTGGCGTTTTTTCTCAACCTTTGTTTGCCGTCCAGTTGTTGTCGATAGCAAATCAGCGATTGCAGCTTTGTTACATTCTTGTGAGCATCAATAACGTTGCTGGGAAAGCTCTAAGTGGAGTGTCGTTGTTCATTTTAACTGCAATAAGTTTAGACAGACTTTGTGCTCTTTGTTTGGGATTGACTTACAAGAGTGTCATAACTTTCAGGCGAACACGCACGATGATTATTTGGATTTGGCTTTTGAACATTTCCCTCGCCAGCCTGAGACGGTTTTGGAGGCTTGCTTTGATGACCAAAGTAATGTCTGCATTCATATCTTCAGCACTAATAATCTCAGCTATCTCCTACTTGACGATCTACCTTAAACTACGCAAATATTGCAATACGCTGCGAGCCTCTGATCAAGATGACCAATCGAACGTGCGAAGGAGTGCTTTCAACATTGCCAAGTACAGGAGGACAGTGTGCACTGGGTTGTACGTACAGGTAGCATTAGTGACCTGCTACCTTCCATTTGGAATAGTAATGGCTTTAGCGAGCACTCGCGGTTACAACTCATCGTTTAACGTTGCTGCTCGACTGACAATCACTCTTGCTTTACTTAATTCATCATTAAATCCCATTCTCTACTGCTGGAGACTAAGAGGAGTTCGACAAGCAGTGAGGGAGATTATAAGACGCCCAAGTCAGTTATCTTAGTAGATCTGCATTTAGCAATTTTTATAAAGTTAAACTGTTTTGGGTGCAGTTCAGCGAACGCTATAATTACATAGCTTTTTTCGTAGTTGACGTTTCAGAAGGGAGAAAAATTAAGGGCATAGATAATAGAATGTTCAACTTAAATAATTAATAACGTTACACTTTTGCCCCAAAATGGCGACCTCGGGTTTCGAAAACAGTACATCGGTAAGTTAAGGTTTCTTTCTTGGGAAAAATTTAGGAGTCAACAGAGCCAAAACTCAAAACTGATAATTATAAAAGAGTGGCATAATCACTTTAAGATTCAGCTGAATCGTTTAATTTCAAAACAGAGCTGATAATATAAACTGTTTTCCAGTTTTTATTAAAGTACATTACAATAAAATAGTCGCAATGAGGTTGAGGTGGGGTCAAATCAAAAAAACGTCGTAAAAAATGATGAAGCATTTTTGGCGCGCGCTGCACGGCTCCAAGTGCTATATAATGGAAAAGTTTTAATATATTCTTTGGGGAAATGTAATGATAAAATCGCAAAAAGATCATTAGAGTATATTAAGGAATGACGGACAGTATCAGATATCATCAAGTAGATATATATATATAAAGCCTTCGTTAGATGATTTAGATTTGGTGAAGTTTAATGATAGAATCGCAAAAAGATCATTAGAGTATATTAGGGGATGACGGACATCAAATTGATGTAAAAAAAAAATCCCTTCGTTAGATGATTAAGATTGACATGGCAACGAAAGATTTTTGGTAAGTGACGCGCACGTCTCAAACATTAATTTTTTTCTCAGTTCAGCCAACCACAAATGGAATTGATTAGTCGACAGATTTTCCTCAAAGCTGGAAATTTCAGGGATCTAGCAACATTAAAACACAAAAACTCCTTCAATTTTTTTATGATGAAAGCTTTCCGAAGAAGAGTGATTTAAAAGCCCCAACGGAACCTATATTTTTCTCGAAGGAGCAAACACAGATGGATGTGGAAGATAAACAAGTCTGTGAAAACCTTGTTTCGCCATCTAATCAAAACATGTCTAGAAATTTCAATGGACGATCAATCTCCATATATGATTTGTTTAACATCGCTCCTTCGAATGACGAGACAAAATTTTGTTATCAGAGACACCATTATAGAGGGTACTTATCTTTTTCAAAATCAAATGGGCTTAGAATACAAATGACGCAAGTACCGGTAAGAATATACCATACAGATCAATAGAGCTTATCGCACACGCTGTTTGGCTTGTTCGGAAGTGATTAGCAAGTGCTATTAACTTCCGAACAACCGCAGAGACAAAATAGCTCGTCAAGAGTTTAATTTCCGACCAATTCTTCGGTCTATTGAAGAGGTAAGCTAAATTTTGGTTTCGGTGTGGTATATTAAACTCTGATAATACACATAAAAAACACGCTTTTCTGATTGGCCCAAAACGAGTGCATTGTTCATGTAACACGAGTGCAAAGTGCGCTTTGTCCAAATTTCGTCTGTATTAACTCTCTGTGATGCTTTTTCATGTTAATTATTAATAAGTGATTACATTATTTCTCGTGTAACCAGGTGTAAATAAGCACTTTTAAATTTTTCGTAGGTCGAAATTGCACTTGCTTTACGGGTTTGTTCAATTTTGTCGTCATTGAAAAACTCTCTCGTGCTTATTATTAACACACCATCTTGCACTCGAAATCATGTTATTTCCTTTACAAACAATACACTTCAGAGTCGGTGAAAGTATAAGTTGTGACTATCAACCTCCACTATGGTGAATAACTGTTTTTAAATGACCCAGTTAAGGTAGCCGGTCCCGGAAAAAGCTGACGGGCCCTAACACTCACACAGCTCTGTTGAAAAAACTTTAAAAAAAAATAAAAGTGTTAAAATAAGGCGTATTTTTGATGAATTGTACATTTCTTGTTCTGAAGAATAAAAGTTAAGGGAGTACAAATTAACATTCTTTTAATTCAAAACCTGTAAAGAAAATTAAATTGAAATGGAGGGTGGCTGGATCTTCCATATCGTTCATAGCGCAACAACAGAAGCGCCCGAGACGCCGTCGGCAAACAACAGTGGTATTATAGATGAAAGTCCCCCGTTTTTCATTCTGATCCATGCAGGCTCCCAGTACAAAATTCGTTAAGTTCTAGCAACTTTTAAGAACAAGTTTCAAAATACTTTTTTTTCTGGTGATGCCTTGATTTTTTTCTGTTTTTGTTTTCGTTTTCATTATTCCCCATCTTATTCCTTTTTCCCTTGCTCTTAGAAGTGAATCATTGAAAGTCTGTTTTTCGGTTGAAAAGAGATGTTACCAAGTTAACCAGAATTTATCTTTTATATATCCGTGTCAGTAGTTTTATGATGGCTAAGTTACGTCATTCAAGACAGTTGCTTTACCATCATCCAGTAAAGTCCATCTTAAATGTTTCGCCAGGAACTTAGAAATCCCAGAGACTGTGGTTTGAGGAGTGCTTAGACTTCATCGGAAGAAACAAAATGTCATCAATCACCTCTTTATCTTTTGAACCTTCTCGGTCCACTATAAGAAAATACAAAATCAATATTTTCATTTGTCAGTTGACTACCGCGCGCGCAGCATAGAAATCTAATTAATTAGCGGTCATGAAGCAAAATGACGCTTACAATTAAAACTTGTTGGATCATTAATTAAAACAAACTATTACGCGCAAGAATTGAGCAGTTGAGCTCTCAAAATGGCGCCTGTCGGGTTGCTGTTCAGAAGGCGGCGAAAGACAACCACGCTTATACACCACGGCCAAGTAAAAACCAAACCACGTGACCTACAGGCACGTGTTTTGTCTCCTACAAGACGTCACAATCCACAGCCGTTAGGTCTTGCTTATCAGAGCCCTCTTCAATCGAATGCTCAGGTATGGAGCACATTTTAAAACCCTACTCCACGCTCTTTGTTAGTTTCTTTTATCATTTCTCCTGATTTATTGTAGGCACTAAGTTTACAAAAAGAGGCTTACCTTTTGCTGTTGCGATAAACTTACATGTGTTTGTTGTCAGATTCAAAATCACAAGAAAAACGAAAATGATCTAAGGAAGACTTGTAAAAGTGAAGGAAAAATAGGTTCGTAAGGCGTACATGACTACTATGACAACAACAAAGAAAACGGAAATCGACAATCAGCGATAAACGAATTAAATGTTCGATGGGTCAGTATTTTATCCCAGAATAGTCTCATTAACTGCCAAATTCATTTCAAGAGCCAAAAGAAGAGTAATGAAAATGATCTAAGGAAGTCATTGAATTTGAGTGATTCCCGTGAGGTTGATATGATCTCCAGTGAAGAGTGTAAGCTGTGAAACGTTCAGTCAATCTGTTAAGGTGTCCTGTTTTTGTATGTTTTATAAAAAACTTCAGTTGCTTCCTTGCATGCTCAAAATAAGCTTTTTAAATGCGTCGTAATAAAATGACCACAGTTTCAATGATAGTGTGGAAAACTTATATACGCCAGTACGAAGATATATATAGCAAAAGAGATCGATATCGGAGAAGATCTTTCTGCTCTCTGTATCTGTAGAGCTCTGTTGGATAGCGGAGCAAACTTCAATTTTTATTTCTATTTTGCTCTGATGTTAAAAGTTGAAATGTTTGTCATGTGAAAAAGCTATTATTGAAACACGTTCTCTCATAAATATTGGTATGCTTACTCCCTTATTTTTTACCACAGGAATGTGCATAATAACGCTATCATTTGTTTACTTGTTTGTTTTTAGCTTAATCTTAGGAGTGCTTAATTAACTTATAGCAGACTGCCTTTCGAAGAACGTTTTTGCAGTTTACGCCAGAATAGCCAATTTTAGTTTCAAGCCTCGCCTTTAAGATGCGGACTGGCGAAACATCGATGTGGAAGTAGTTCCGAGACGCTGAGATAAAAAGGATGTAAAGTGAAAACAACAACAAGGTGGCGGAGATACACGAAAAATGCAGTGCAATCGAGGCTTGGCAGCGAATTTTCACCAAACAAGGAAATCATACTCAGCAGTGATTTTTAGTGACTATGAAAGCGATCTTCGCGGTAATGAACACTACTTGAGCAGTAGTGTTCATTACTGTACGGGATTTGAACCCATGACCTCTGTGATACCGATGCAGTGCTCTACCAACTAAGCTAACAAGCCAACTGGGAGCTGGTGATTTTGTTGGTTCCAAATAAAGCCGTGAGGTGACAAATAAGCGACTCTGAATAAATTAAAATTATGTATGTTAATTGCGGACACAGCAGCCACCTCTTTTATATTAGTCGCATTTGTGAAAATGTCAAGCCACCTAATCCAAAATGAAGATAATTGTTGTTTTTTTTTAAACTGACTTGCTGACGTGTGATTTTACCTGTTCAGCCCTATGCTATCTGGAATCCAGACTTTCGCCACACACGCTCGAGATACCCAACTCTTTTGGGACACTTGGGTGAGTTTGAAAGAAGTTAAGTTCTTGCAAAGATTTTAAGGAATTTATTAAAATTGCTTCTTTTTTGGCAGCACATACCCATGTTAGCTACTCATGTGGAATAGTTATAATTTCTTGTATGTACTTTTTTTAAAACATTTACCTTGTGTCAATTCTTGGTATTTTGAGCCCTTATATGTTTTATTTTGCAAAAATCCTATCTCGCATAGCCATCACCAGAGTGACGCATTTGTTTTTAATGGATTACATTAAAGTTCTAACAAGGGATCGATCCCTACCCTTAAAAGACGCTCTAATACAAGAGTTACTTTATTGAATTTACATCCCACCAGCCACCACTACCATGTTTTTAGGAAAAAGGTTACGAATTGATCTTCACAGGTTGACTTCAATAACGCATTTCTTCCTTACAGATCAAAACATGATTTTTTTTTACATTTACTGTATATATAATACTTCCGTAACATTGTGATAACAATATAAATAAAATAAATTTCAAATTAACGAGGAAACTTTTCAGAGACATGTTTCAGCATCTTTAATGCCATCATTAGTTTAATGTGTTGAACGGTTATTTTTGTTTGTACACATTACATGGATATACGTTATAAGCTTGAATCGATTTCTATATTTGAAATTAATACCGTTCTAATGGTTGAAGTAATTGTGCTCGATAGTGTAACACTTGCAAAGAAATTTATGTGATCAAAATAACTGACAAATATAAGAGACAAGAAACGCCTTATTATAATAACGGTCTAATAGTCTCCCTTAGTTTCGTGGTGTTACAACACTGTTGAATTCCTATTAGGGACCTTATTTCATTTATTTAAGGGTGGCCTTGTCTGATATTGGCTGTATTCTTATTTGTTTACATTAAGTTATCACTGAATTATCATAATCCTTTAACAGATTTGATCAACTTCTCCTGTGGGCCTGCATCACACGTCTCGCCTCACGATGTCAACCGAGGTATCTGTTTTTCCTGGTAAATATTTGTCATAACCACAAGGAATCGCTGATCTATGCTAGATATTTTGATTTGTTTTTCCAACGAGCTGACTCTCATAATTATTGTAAAAATATTTAACAATTCATGGATAAAAGTGAAACCAAGCACTTGCAGGCTTGCAAAAGGGTCAAGAAGCTTGGAATTGTTTGAACATAGCACCAGTTGTAATTCATATTTTGATACGTCTGATGTAAAACCAAAACATCAAGAACGATGCCAAGGTTCATTTGGCCTGTTTCATCAAATGCATTTGAAAAGAAGTTAGGATTAACTGCCGTACTAAGGGTATCCTAAGCTGTGAATCACTTTAGTTCTTTCTATAATGTATCCGACAAACATGCTGGGTTAAAATTGTCAGTTGCAGTCGTACTTAAAAGTCTTCGAAGAATAGGCTGATAAAGAAACGTGGATGGCGAAATCTTCCTATCGACTGCAACTTGAATAGATCTTCTTCCTCGTCAACTTTGCAATAGCCTTACTGTAACGTAAAACCTTCCGTATTCCCTGTGCCTGCTAAATCCCGTGAAATTAATATTGAAGAGGCGAGTTAGTAATAGTAACAATGATGGGATGCGATAGTCTCGATACACCATCAGTGTAAGCGGCATTATGCTCATAGCAATCTCTTAAAAAAGAGAAACTACTCCTTTTATTCATTAAATCCCGCAATATATTTTCTTACTACAGGAGGCCCGCCAACGATACATTATAGCCTCCAATCCACTTCACGGTTTAGTTACCAGGACCCGTCCCAGTATGTACTGGGAGAGGAAAAGAAGAAGCCGCCCCATCATCCCTGTCGACCCGGACCAGACGGACCGGCTGTTGGCATAAGTGAGTACCTATACTTTTTTCACACTTTTTAAGCCAACGATAACGGTTTCCTTCCCACAGCGGCAAATATTTTTTGGCCTTAGTCATCAAGCCGTAGAATCTCTTCTGGGGTACATTCTATGCAGTGGGGTGTAACGGACACTTCCTTTAACTGGAAGAGCCGAAAACAATAGCGCCCGGTCCCAAACCACTAGATGGACTAGACAAAATTGAAACTTAGTTTTAAAACAAATTGTATATGAAAATCAAAGTCGTTCTCGTGTACCTTTACGCTGAAAAGGGAAAAATAATCTGAGGGTGAAACTTAGCGTATGACCAATTTATTTCTCGTAATTTAGTGTTAAAAACTGAGTTTAAAACGTAAATTTGCCACCGTAAAGAGTTTAAAGGCCGACTTTCGAGCGTTAGCCCTTCGTCAGAGCTATTGACGAAGGGCTAACGCTCGAAACGTCAGCCTTTAAACTCTTTACGGTAGCTAATTTACGTTTTAAACTCAGTTTTTAACACTAAATTACCTGTTATACTCTCCCACTGACGAAACACCATAGTTTATTTAGAAACTTACCCCCTTTTATCAATTTATTTTTCGTTACATTCAAACTGCCTCCTTTAGTTAAGTTAATTTATGTTGTGATTTTCAGTTCCTCCAGGTCTTCCTCGTCTATCAGAGATAGACGTGGTGAACGTGCGTCAGGGAGATGACAGTGACAAGGTAGCTCAGCATTATCAATCATTAATACCCAAGATTGTCGCCATGTTTCTCCCAGCTCGTTCAAGCTTCGAACGAGATAAAGAAAGAACTCTCTCCCCAAACTTTTTCCAAAAAGCACGTCAACGGCACATGAACTTTAGTGAAGGATGCGCCAAGCAATTCTACAGACTAGCCTTGGCAATAAAGACTTAACGTAGCGCGCGCGGAAAAAAGTCCTTACAGTCACTCCTACTTCAACCCCTCTACGGCGGCCACTTGCCACAACAGCAGTGTTTATGTTTTGTGTTTTTTTAAAACATCAATTTGGTGAATATAATTTCAGTTGTGTTGAGTTTTTATATCTTTCCCCTGTCACTTTTTCGTGAAAAACACTGTTCTTTCTCTCGCAAAAATTGGCACCGTATGATGCCTTTGAGCCCCTTCAACGACTACCTCTCTACAACTTCCGCATTCCCTTGTTCCCTAAGTGATCATTGTAGTCAGACCCGACCTCCTGTTGACCCGCAGATCTAAAAACGGGTGGGCTCTTTGATCTTTGCCATTAAGTTACCTTGCAATTTCTTTTTATTAACGAACCGCTCTGATCGGCCAGGTCTGGCTAATAGAGATTACAAGACACCAAATTGTGCTAACATGTCACCATCTTCTTTTCTTTCAGAAATATGATAAAAGCAGTTGGAACAATGCAGCACTTAGAGAAGTCTGGAGAAGCACAGGGCACCCAAACGCGTTTTGTTGCACTCCATAACCTAATCCTTCCACTTTGATCATTATCAAGTTATTTCAGTTATTTTTCAGTTTAATAAACTTTACATCTCTTTTCCCGACTTAGTGATTATTCTGTTTGTAATTCTTATTTAGATTTTGGAGAGGGATTCTTTTCCATTAATTTTGGACTGATATCAATCAATTAATCTTTTGGAGGTGTGGTTCTGCAAGTGCAGAAATATGTTGATATATGAAGAATGTAATTTTAAACTACATGTTCACATTGTAAGTGGGAAAAGGTCTCCAAATTTCATTTTGTTTGTACTTCATTAAATCCTTGATACATTTAAAAAGGGACAATTAATAAAAATCCAAGAAAATCATTATACAGGTGCCATGATCAAAAGAACTGAATCACTGATACTATGGCAGATTTACTGAAACCAAAGCCCCCTGACAATTCAACTCAGAGACTATTTAAACCACAGTAGTCCTAATGACTTGCCTTGGGAGCAAGCTTTTTTTTTTAAATTTCATCTTACCCTGAATCTAGTGTGATAGTTCTGCTCTGTGGTTGGTTTTCAATGTCAAGGGGCCATGGCTTCAATAAATGCATTATAAACGTGCACAATTGAAGAATAATAATCAAGTGGGAAAAAAAGATGTGTTCAAATTCTCATGTTACAGAATTCTCCTTTCAAAAAGATGGTCAGTAACACTTAATGTGCTTTTGCTCCAACAGTCTGTCAAATTTCTTTTCAAACCAATATGGACATTGGTAAGATCCTTTACTTAGTTTGAAGTTCTGTCCAGTTCTTTCTCTGATCTATGTCCACAAGGTTTCTTGCCCATCCATGTCACTAGTGAATTAAACTTCAATATCTAAATTTGTCCAGCGCATGCGTTTAAGAATGCTAGCCGGTGGGTCTTCTAAACAACAACACATGTGGCTCTGCGAGCAAAAGAGAAAACAACATGATAAGCCAAGAAAATAACAATAAAAGGAAAATCTTCTCAGAACAAAACTAAACTATAGCTTCTTTCAAGATGTACCGCAAATTTCACAGGGTCACCTTTCAGTTTGAGAAGGCTTTGTCTTAAAGTTTCACAGTCAATCTATAGGGTATCTACTGTGCTAAATTAAACCAATCATTGAAGTTCACTGGCTGCCAGCCATACAAAGTGTACAACCTTGTCTTACATACAACTGATTCATACATTGATTCTAGTACTTTTTACCATAGCCAGATACATTTCCTCTAAATATGAGAAAGAGACAGTCTTAAGTAGATAACCTTCACTAAATAATGTCAACCTTAATTTTTTTTAATTTTTGACCCAAAGTCAAGATAGGAGTATCAACAACAACAACAACAACAACAACAACAATGTCATGTTGGTTTTAGGACGATGAATAGTAGCGTTATTTTTTTCCAAGGTGTCCTTATCTTCTGCAGTGATGTTAGCATCAGAAGATCTGTTTTGCTCTTTAAAATCAATTTCTTCATTGAAGGAAAGGGGCCCTCAAATGCAATAACAGTATTTCCTTGAATAAATGCCAGAGTACTTATTTAAAATTTCTGCTAAAAGGAGGTGTGCTCATTGGAGGGAGGGTGCTTAACTGAGGACTAAAGGGGGGAGGGGGGCTTGTTAAGTTAATGCAGCAATAGGATAAAAATCAAAAGAACAGGTAATGCACACACAGGAATTCTGCAAACACACAGGGATGGAAATAACTGAGGGTGACTAAAAGGAAAAGAAACTATTCTCCTGAAATGATTCCGCTTAAGTCGACACTTAAAAGGTTATAGATAAAGTGGCAATAGAAAAAGGTTTTCATTGCATCCCTACTAGTTAAGAGAGTGAGGGAGGAGTGAGGTGCTTGTTTGACATTATAGCCTTGGGGAAGGGAGCTTATTAGAATGTGGGCACTTATTCAATGAAATACAGTATCACCAGATTATTTCAGTTTTGCTCCAATGATGCATTTCTGACCTGGTTCTGTTTAGACAAGAAAACTGAGTTGTCATGACAGCTTGGAAAATACTTACCAGGTTCATGAATAAGATAGTGAATCCACCCTGGAGACTGTTGTACCCCAAGGTTTCGCCATTCACTCTCTGTCATTAAGTGGGTTTTGGGAACAAACTCCGCAAGATCTTTTGGAAGGATGACATGTCTAGTAGGAAAAATACTTCATATGCAACCATGTGTTGTTCATAAAGTAATAATATAATAAAAAAGATGCATGCTTCTGATTGGCATAAAAACAGGTGCATTTTTCATTTAACATGCATGCAATGTTGTGATACAGGAGCAAATTACAAATGAGTAATGAACCCTAACCCTAACAAGGTTTGAAAGGGTTTTTCACAATTAATGACAAGTGCTCACAAATAAAAGATATCAGGACTGTATACCTTGTCATCAGGCAAATGTTTTAAGATCTGTTTAAAACTATTGTTGGGAAATTTTTTAAGGGTGTTGCTCAGGCTTCATCCATTGGCATGCTAACAGTATGTGCTAAAAGCCCCTCTATAACTCAGTTTTTGAAAGATATCTCAAAAACCAAGTCCATGACGTAGAGTCCTTTGTTAAATTTCTATGGCCCTATCAATTTCTTTTCCATACATGGTATACAAGGAAAAAAAAACTATCACACAGAACTTGTGCTATTTAGGAAAACACTGTTTCAAGATGTAAAAAATTATTCATTGGATTATTATTTTTTAAATTTTTACAAACATGTAATATCATTTGTACACAGAAAATCAGGGTGGGTCACCGAGCTAATTTCAAGATACTAGTTTATCAATCTAGAAAGGTTTATTTCCAGTTTTCATGATTTTAGCTCACACTTTTTTCTAGATTCTGCTGTCTTGCTTCCTTTAGCGTGCACCATTGGTTTTGCACTCCTAATGTCTCCTTTGCCTGAGTTATTTGTGAGTCGAATTTTCACTTCTCTCTCCTTTTTCTTTGTATTACAGAAATAGCCTCATTCAGCTTTTAAAAACAAAAACGTCGGCCAATTTTCATTTGATTTGCGGCCGCCATTGCTGTTTACAACTCGCGCCAAGCAATTTTCGTGGGAAATCGCGCGTGCGATGCATTCATTAAGATCCAATCTCCTCCAGCATAAAACCCTACTGTATCACTCACTTTATTAAACTAGTGCTGCATGCAAATTGAACTCTGCATTAACAAGATTGCAATAAATGCGGATCTTTTCTATCATTAACACCTTGAATGGTGACTAACCATCTGATAGTCGAAGGCAATTCGAATTCATTCCGAATGGCTAAGATGCTAAAAGGCTTGCTCGTCAAGCAAATACTAAGTGCCACATCTCCATGCGCTTGAGATGATGTAGCAGATAAGCTCAAACAACTGAGTGCATTTATTCTCTTAACTAATTCACCTTCCAAAGTCTCTTTAGATTCTTAGGGTGAGTTGTAGTGATCTACGTGGCATCAAAGCTGTTGCTAGCGCTCTGTGGGTCCGCGCTAGCGCGCCCGTGTCGAAGTGGAGACAATAGTACCATGATCATGAAATTGTGCTCACCTGTACTCGTAATGGTCGTCTGAGTACTTGTCTGAATAACAAATTTGCGTAACAGGCATTTTTCCGCTCAGATATCGAGCAAATATGCCCGGAAGATGTTATTTGTCCGCAAATTTGAAAAAACCCTTGATCTTCCTGTGACTGGCGGTCAACTCTGAGTTTACTTTAAAAGCGCGGTTCCCAAGCATCCAATATAAGAATTAAAATCAACATCAATAATATTTGTAGTAAGCTTGAATATTTCGCTCATTTTTGTGTGATAAATTATATTTTTCTGACCCCAAAAAACTACTTCATAGAGAAATCGTCATACTTACGTGGTTGTACCCCTAAAAAGTTGTCGTAATCTTTTCGTAAATTGGCTACAATTGCTGATCCCAGTATCAATTCTCTTTAATTAAAGGATGGCGGGAAACATGAGTTTGGGAAACGTTTGGACCATCTTGACCTTGAAAGGAACAGGAAATTGACCTTCACTTGTCCATTTCTTCCCCGTCCTAAATTGATTGAAATAGTGAGGCCACAAATCTAAAATTAAGGTATTTGAACGCGATTTCTGGAGGTGAGAGAAAGAGCGAGTTATTGGATCCTGAATATGTAAGAATCTTGCAAACTTTTACTAGGAGGCATATAGAGGACGCCAAAGTCATCACAACAGAAGGTGCCATAATTGTTACATTGAGAATATTGAGGTAAGTAATTTTTAAGGTCATTCATACCCAGCACGAATTGAAATCGTTTATCACTGTAGACTTCCTAGAGGAAAGACACTCAGGGCAAGCCTCTCGGTTGGAAAGACTCGATCAATCGGAATTTTACATATAAGCTTACGTCACTTAATGGCGATTAGTTATGAGCTGAACAAAGGGCTTCTCTTTCCCACCAACTTACGCCACGAGAGTGAAATGAAAATTTGTCTTTAAAGTAAAATATTTTTTCCATTGCTTTTGTAATACAAAAATTTAAGGAAAGGCGCAACCTGCTTTGGTCTACCAAATAGTCACCAAAACCACGAAGTCTGAGGTTAGCTACAATTTCTCCCATATTCCCACATTATCTTGAAAAGTTGCCTCGCAAACAAGCGATTGCAGAGAAAATGAAGATAAGAAACCTCCAATGGGGCTTACCATAGATGTTAAGGTCGGAAAGTAGAAAGGGAAAGGGAAACCTTTCACGATCTGGAAATTTCATGTTGACTCGGCGAAATCGAGATTTTATGAATTATATAAATCAGAGAACACTACTGCTGAAAGGGCAGACATAATATTATCGGTTGCCTTGATTTGAAAGAGGTTTTTCCTTCACCGGTTGGCGGGTTGACCTGAAGACCGCCACTGAATGTTTCATTTTGTTCATGACAAGTCAGGCAGACGTTATTTATTGTCACGGAAAATTAGAGAAATTCCTGTGGCCGTCATGGTCAATGGAAAGAGATGGGGATGTAACAGAATTTAAGAAAATGAATGACACTTTTAAAAACATGTTATAAGAGTTCTTCTGTCAACTACAGTTCTGAATAATACAAAGACAAAGTTGAATTTAAAGTGTGTAACAAAATGCTGATTGGACAAAACAAGCAATAATAACAAAACAATGTATGCATTTACAAGGAAAGTTTTGAATTAACATGGTAAAGTTGATGATTAAGTGTAGGTTTCTCCCGTTGAATGTGGATAGCTTCTTTGATTTTAAGTTGAAAAGTTGTGGAAGTAATTGACCCAAGATGTTAAAACACTGCTATGTTGGTGAAACCTCTCAGCATTTATCCACACGTGCATGTGAGCACTTGGTCAGTGATAGGACCTCTCACACTTTCAGACATCTACATAATTCTTCATAACGTTGCACTCTTTGTTGTGATGAGTGTTTTTATATCTTGTAACAGAAATATTACAGTTTGAATCTTACCCTAGATATATGCGATTTACTTACTATGGTTAAACAAAAACCAGCAAAGTAAATGACAATTTCTTTGAAATTTTTAAATCTCTTTATTACTTAGAAGTTTAAGTAAAATTTTTGGCTACAAAAATTGATTCCATGATTGCAGTAACATATTTACAATTTAATATTTCTGAGACATAGCTGAAACATGAGAAGTACAAGAAACTTTATCACTATAAATAACTTCTGCTCTCAAAATCTACCCATCATCCTATGTCTTAGGTTCTTAGATCTTCATTGTGGTTTTTCAGGAAACAAACGTGCCATGTGCCAACACATCAGTCTTATTATCTTCTATATGAAGATATCTAACAAACAAACAAACAAACACTGTAACCTGTGAACGCTTTAGAGAAAATTCATACTTACAAGCCTATTAAAAAATTCAAGTGCCAAAGTATTTTGTATAAGGTGTATAATAACAAGGCTGTTTTCCTTATCCTTTCCTGCTAATCCAAAGTTTAATTGAAATGTTTACACAAGCTTTTCACCCTTTGGGGTTCCATTAACTTTAAGTCTTGAATACACAGTAAGTCACATTCAGTTCATTATTTTGTATCCTTTGAGGTCTTGGCATAACTGTGTTAAGTCACCTTGTCAATTCTAAAATAGGCTTTTGGAGTTTTTTAAAAATATATTTTTCTAATTATGATTCTAAGCTTTAAGAGCAGTGAATATTTGCAATTAAATTTTCATATTGTAGGTTTGCTAAGTGAGAGACTTCAAACCAACAGAATATATGTAAAGACCAGCCTGGCAAATTTACTTGTGTTGCATTACCTTAACTGTTTTTAAGATGGACACCCCAGTCTCTAGGACAGCTTAAGTTGGTCCTAACAGTATCTTTCTTAACCGACTTGAACAGAACTATTTGCTGGAAGGCAAACTTTTCCCTCAGTATAATGATTTGTCAAAAAAATTTGCACTTTCAACCTGCCTTTGCATTGCAGGGTAACTTGCCAAAAACTGATCAATTGGAATACAGAAAAACTTGCAATACATTGCACCTAAAATAAATTAATTGCTATTTCCTAATAATCAACTGACCTAAATGAATACTGTCAGAATTAAATGTTTCTGTTTTTTGTTTAACCCTTTAACTCCCATGAGTGACCAAGACAGAGTTTCTCCCAACAATATCCATATAATTTCAAGCAGACAGTGATGAGAATAAAGAGAAATATCAATTAGGGGATTATCAGTTGATCCAGTAACAAATTCTCAGAACTAAAATCATAAGAATTGTACAGCAGTCAGTAAGGAGAATTACCAATGAGATCTTGGAAGCGAAAGGGTTAAGTAACCCAGGTAAAAATGGCGGCAATGGAATAACGCTCTGTTTGAGTTTGGTTTCCTTTGCATGATCATGTATCTACCAAATTTCGAGAGTTGCAAAGTGATTGTAAAAAATTTACCAAAGATTTTAATCTAGAAAGTACACAGGGCAGTCTTCCATGCAAGTAAAAAAAATTAGGAATTAATGAAGAATGGAACTCTCTCTTTCTTATCATAACTTATCTTTGAATTTTGTGTCTGGACAATTTACACAACAATTTACATCAACAGCTGAAAATTAAAGTTTTGTTTTAATATTTTATCATATGAGCAATTATTGGTTTTTGTGTATTCAATGTTGCTGAAAAGTACAATAATTACATACCTTACACATGCTGCACTTGATGAGTGTAAGAACAAGTTAGTAAATAAACTAGTGAATTTATCGGGATTCAGCTGGAACTCCTATCTACATTGTGGAATAAAAAATTAGTTTTATTATAAAAGCCAAACTTTAAGTTACTTTACTATGTACATGAAATGTGGAAATTGTTCACCTAGTTAACTTCCAAGAAGTTAAACTATTACATGCTAAGTGAATTCTCTTGTTGTCTGCTATTTAAATTATGTTAACTTGCAAAGCAATTCACAATAAATTAAGAGGAACAATTATTATAACATTTTGTAATGCCCTATAAACATTTTTAAACACAACAAGAAATTTTGAAATTACGATGCATATCAATGCAAATTGAATAGTTCTTCTTGTGTCTACCACACAGTCAGGTGAATATTTTTTTTTGCACTTGCACTTGGCTAGTTCAAAAAGTGATAAACCAGTGCCTATTCACCTCTGAGCACCCAAAGAAACAAGGTAACATATCAAGAGTTTAATTTTTAACCCTTGTATAATGACAGAAATAAACAAATGATTTTTGTTTCTGTATGGCATGTACTAAAACAATTATTCACCTCAGTGTTGATGAAAGCCCTAGATATATACCTTGCTGCCTTGCAGTTTGGTGAATATCAACTACAATTCACCTTCACTTTGGTGAATTAGTTTTTAAGGTAAAAATTCAAGAACTTCCCTCATAAATTATAGCCTACAGTCCAGCTGGGATACATTTTTGTGGCTATTGTACCACATATTCCTCTCTCCTTCCTTTTGACAGTCACTCACTTCCTTGGTACAAATTTCTTTCTCTACCCAGCCTTCTGCTACCATCATGGTAGCTATAATTTTCACCAAGAAAATACTGAGCACTCCCTTGCCAAAATTATGCTTGCTCTGCAGGCTAACTATCATGGTGAGGTTAGACTTGAATACCATTTTGCATGCTTTATATTTACTTATTACCATATTGCAACTGTGGAAGTCTGCAAAGTTTTACTCTGTGCTTTAAATTTAGCCATCACAACATTTTGAAAAGTAAATGAATGTTACTTTATGACTACCAGGAAAACATGAAAATTGTATGTAGTAATTTATGAACTATGAAATAATTGCGACAAGTGACAATGTGGAATTCAGATTGATTAAAATACAATTTATCCCCTACCAGTGAACAAGGCTTGAGTACTTAGAGGACTTTAAAATCAATGGAAAACCAGTTTTTAACTTCTGGGAAGGCCTACTTCTGCTTATTAGTGGGTTCTTTTCAAGAAAGTGTGCAAATAAAGAGTTGTAATGGTAGTTCAAAGTGTAGTGAAAATGGTTCTACATGTGGGAAAAGCCACCAAGTTGTAAGAGTACTTGCCACAAAAGCTTCCACTGCAAATTTACAAAAGATTAACTAAACATAGTTTACTTGTAGGGAAAAAAATAAGCATAAAAAATAAATCATCATATAAACAAACAACATTTAACTTACAGACAACATTTCACTTACAAACAACAAATAACAAAGCAAAACAGTTTTTAAATTCTTGGCATGTGTCATGAATGACTAGGCACATGTATGAGTCTAAAACACTAAGTATGAATATTAGAAAGTCATAGAAAAACAATTTTATACAAGACAAATCTACAATATTCAGTCTATGATGAGCAGACACTGATCAGTTGGGGCTTGTCGTCATCATTGGTATTCCATTCATTTCACCATTTTGTGTTCCATTCATGGGTGGATAAGGATTCTGCAAACCATTCGAAGAATTTGCAGGTGGATATGGCAGCTGCAAAGTAGATACAGAGAAATGTTATATCTCTAAGTAATTAACACTGAGCATATTACATAATGCTGATACAGTATTCCAGATTTCCATCCACAGAAGAGTAACCTTTAAAAATTATAATAATTTCACAACTGGTAAAAAAGGAGCACCCAAATGGATTTTATTATTAAACAAGGGAGGAGTACTTTGGATTCTTATATTCATGACAGGGTAGTCTTAGAGCCTGAAAATCACTATTTCGTAGGACATTTCTGTTCCCTAAAGCAAGCAAATGCATTGTTCTGAAGTGGAATAAAACTGCTAGAGTTAAAAGCCTTGGTGAATAAGTTTTGCTAGTTTTCTATTCAAACACTGCTAATCACTGATGCTACTCAAAAATGGAATTTTTGCTGATCTATATGTATTCTTACTGATCTAAGCCAGCTCATTTTATTTTTAGCTGAAGCTGCGATTTCAGCTATTTTGCAATAGGTTAGAGTTTTCTTTATGCTTTCCTGTAGGGCATATATGGTTAAGGAGTAGACAGCCTTGTGTATCACATTTTACAGTCAACCTGTGCTATGTTATCTGCTGAAGTAGCTCTTATAGCTTGAACCTGATTAAGTCCATTGGCAAACATGCATAACCCAGCTCTGATATCTGAAAGACTGTAAACTAAAGCAACTTAAAATTTTACCAATGCTGAGATGTTCTTTGATTTAGATGACGCAGTTCCAGCTAGAAAAATTGCTTATAAGCCCTAAATCTTTTGCACAGTGAGTGCCAACTGCAAAGTGCAAATTGGCCACTTGGCTGGTGACAAAATTGCTGCAAAAGACCTAGTTTTCAAGCAGCAATTCCCATTAAAATATTCTGATATATTTACCTTGCCATTGGCCCCTCCACCAACCGAAAACATTGATGTGATGTCTGTGAAGCGACCTGGTTGCTGAGAGTAGTAAGGAGGGGGTGCAGTTGGCAGGGGAGGAGTGTAGTATGCAATTCCATTCTCTGAAGGTCTGGAGGGAGCAGCTTCTTGAATGCCAATCTAGAAAATAATTTCATTTTTTGAATAAGTGATGTAGCACCATAATTTTGTCTTTTTCAAAGCATGAAATAGTTATTCTAAGGAAGATAACAAGTTTTCTAAACAAATTTAACAATTCACTGTTAACAATATATGTACCAGTACACTTATACCTGAACAGATAGACAGAGTGTCTGAAAAATCATGAATGATTAGATAGACAGAGTGTCTGAAAAATCATGAATGATTAGTTAGACAGCAATATCTTCATTTATAACTGATGAGATTCAAGGCTAGAAGCTAATGGAGTTGTGTCCATTTAATTTCAAGATTTAAAATGCCATAAAGAAACACTTTGCAAACTAATACATCCAAGAATTCATTACATTATTCCAAAATTATATCTACAAAGAAATAGCCTGCAGTAAACAAAGTCATGCTCATAAAATTTTACTAACAATAACATGCAGAGTAATGATAACTCTATCAATTGTACACTTTTAAAAGTCTCCCTTTTTGGAATGGCACATTGCCATTTAGGCTGCAAATACAAATGCTAATGAATAAAATGCTGTGTGCTTAAGTAATTCTAGAAGAATATAGAAAATAAGCTGACAAAAATAAAAAGTGAAACCTTAATGGAACTGAATTATACTTGAACCAACTTTATCAAATATGTGTATGTAATACAAATGTGTAGTCAGTATGCCCATGGGCAAGAAGTTGGAGTCTTTTTGTGTAGTTCAACGGTAGAATCAAGCAGAAATTAAGTACCACATACTGGTAAACCCACAAACCCACACAGGCCTTGGTTGTTTGAAGGTTAGATTATGCTATCCACTGGATAAATCTCTATCCAGTGGATAGTGCAATACATTTTGTTAGCACTTATCCACTGGATAGCGATTTACCTGTGGGATAGCATTATCTGCCCTCTGAACAACTTGGGCCAGGAGTGCTAGCTTAATGGTATCTTCCAAAGTGACTCAAATAATTACATCAGTAACAAGCCAGTCTTACCTGATTGGTTCTTAGGTGAAATGGGAAATTGGAATTTGCTGCATTAGGTCTGGTAATGACCTGTGAACATGAAAATGTAGTTTAAGAGGGAGCATGTAGACAGTAATATCTTCCTCTTTAAACCCTTTAACCCTTTAGGATAACAACTAACTAATTTTTCCTTACAATGTAACCCCTGAAGCACATATCAAGATCACAACAATAAAGGAATTGATCACCATCTAAAGAAGCTCTTAATTATTTAAAAAATGCTCCTTGTCAGCACCTTAGGAAATGTATAGAGAACAGTAAGGAGAATATGGTAGGGTGTAAAAGATTCAACAAATTGTGGGCAACAACCTTTTGCTGGAATGGTTATCTGAACCAAAAAAATAAATCCTTAATATTTGGGAAAACTTAATTAGCTTTATACTTTTACTTTATTTAATTTTTAATCAGTTATCTGAGATATTTCAAACACTGTTCATATATAGAAATTAACAGGTATCTAGGACCATTCAAAACAGTTTGGACTGATTCCTTACCAAGAAAACACCATGTGCCAGAATAGAGATGCACCAATCAATTCCGTTAACAATTTGAGCTCTGAATAAAAAAATAGTTCCATGAAACCTCATCACCAAGTAAATAGCAAACTCAAACAAGAAGAAAAAAGACATTTTTTTCACTGCAAGGACACTTTTACATTTTTTCAGTTATTGACCAATGCTTTACATTTTACCTCTCATATGAAAAAAAGAGAATCCATTACACACACAACAACTGGTAAATCTATCTCAATAAGGATTAATTTTTTAATACCAGTAAGTTTAAATTATGATTGAGATCTAAGAGTCATTCAGAAATATGTAAGAAGACAAAGGAGATGATAGTGATATGATCCAACACTGTCTCCTCACCTTTCCCATTTTTGTATTCTATACGCTGAAATAACAACCATGATTGGCCCAGCAAGGAACCTGAGAGAGATGAATTTTTTAATGGATGAAGAAACAAATTTTATTCTGAAAGGGGAAGAAGGATTTAAAAGCAGGTGCAAGTGGTGGAAGCTTGTATAAAATGCTAGGCAAGCTAATTTCGTAATATCAACCAAGTTGACAACATAAATTTGCCACCAGAAAGACTTTAAAACCTGATGCTTTGAGCATTAGCCTTCATCATTGGCCCTGACTGAGGACTAACGCTCGAAATGTCAGCTTTTAAAATCTTTACAATGGCAAACTCAGTTAATGATACCAAATTACCTTGTTATACTCCCCCACCAACACAGTAGCACGGTTTCTTAAGAAACTTACCCTCTTTATTAAAATATAGGGCAGATGGGACATGCTGCCTATTAGTAAGAAGATCTGATTCAATTTGCATGATATTAAGGGGTGCTACAACAACCATGCTCCTACTTTTATCACATTAGGTAGGCCCATGTCAGATTTCAAATGACCCAAACTTAACATGAGACCTACTACCACAATTATTGTTTTTTTGTTGTAGTTTTTGTTATAACAAACAAGCAAACAACAATAATAATAAAAAACAAGTAAAAGAACAAAGGAGAACAAAATTATTCAATCTCAAAATACATCAGAGGATATGCATCTCTTGGTCATTGAACACTCTATCCGACTTACCATCCTGTGTAGATTATCCAGAATGGGTAATAAAAATTGCTTTTGTTTGGATAGTGCTTCAGTGTAAAGAAAGTCCCATAACAGAACCACAACCAAGCCTGAAAGTTATTAGTAATAATCAGCTTCATCACAATAAACAAACCAAGAAAGTTTAACATAAGCACCCAGTAACAGTTACAATAAGGTTAACAACTTAAGCTGTATGAAAGTCATCAATATCTCAGTTTCTGAGAATCCTTGGAAATAAATTTAAAATTTAAACCTTAATTTTATAATTCACAAATTAAGTTTGTTTCTCATTTCATTGATTATTTATACCAATTATCTCTCCTGGACTGATAATCATGCCAGATTCTTGACCCTATTAATTACTAGTAATTTCTTTTATGCATATTAAATGCAAGCAAGTACATATTAATTTCAATCAATAGCCATGATCTAGAGGAAATGGCACTGAACCTAACCCAAAAGTTCTCTCTCCAAACATTACATGAATTATATGTTAATGAGGAGTAAGAATTGGTTCTTTGAGGCTGGCCTGTAACAAAGTGTAACACATATACTTACTATGACTCTCAGAACACAGATTCCAATACCAGCAGGGCTCTCATAGATGTAAAGGACCTTGCCAGGATCAAACACCTTAAATTCCAACACAAATTTATTATTAAAATCATTTTTTTATCTAATTGAAACCTTACAAGTATTTCATCAAATCTTTCGTTGATCATTTCTCACCCTGTGCAAAGATATTGAGCTGTAATATAAAGCTGAAATCAAAATCTCTCTGTCTTAACACTTTAACACCTAACAGTGATTAGCACCTAATTTCTCCTATCAATATCATCCTCGAATCACACATTTAGGTAATGAGAATAAAGGAAATGATGACCAATTAAAAAAGCTCTTGATTATAAAACAAATTCTCCTTATCAGCACCTTAGGAAATGTATAGACAGTATAGATTATGCATATTGATGTTAGGGTGTAAGGGCTTAAGAATGATGCATTCTATTTCTCTTCTAGAAGGGTTGGTGGTGGGGTGGGTTCAGGGTGAGATGAGCAATCCCCTAGGGAAATTGATAAAGGGGAACTACATTTGTAAATATTTCAGCTCCATCAGACATCAAATCTCTCTTGCCAAATCCATGCAACATCTTTCTCTAATGATCTTGAGTGTGTAACAACAACTTCATGAACACTCTTCCTTTTTGCAATACAGGTTCATGTCTATTGAGCTTTGGTTCCTCCCACTCCTCATAGGGAAGTTTTAGCAGGGAAAATAACAAATAATGGTACTTCTGATACTAGAATACAGCTGTGATAAGAATTGAACATTTATGCAATTCTAGCTTGCACTTTGATACTTTTTTTTTATCACAACTGTTACCTGTACCATTTGATAAACCACTGGGTACCTTTAGGTCCTAAAAGCTGAATTTAGAGGGACATGTTACCACTTATTTCATCATATTCCACTTACAGCAACTTCATAGAAGAAAAGGATGGCAAAACACACTGTGTACACTGTGCCAAAGATACTGAGCTTGATCTGACCAGAAGAACTGATACGTCCTCTGCAAACAAATGATTCAGTCCAGTGAGGTCAGTTACATTCTCTTTCTAAGAAAGATGTCTGCCAACTCATGTATCTACGATACAATGCAAATCTCCTGGTCTCTCTTACAGTTTGCTTAATCTCTCACATTAAAGTAAATTTAAATTTCATGTTAGATAGGGGAAACCAAGTAAGTCTTGTCACCTTTTCAATGCTTTCATAAGGATCTGGCACCTACTGGAGCTCTGGGAGGTATTATGTTGTGAAATGCCAGGTATACTTTGGAAGCTTAAAACCTAAAACACTTGAAATTCTTCTAGAGTTTCTTCAGTTCTTTTTCCTTTGCAGACAAGTTTTGATAAAAATTATTGATACTGTCTTATCATATATTCCAGCATACATTTGAAACATTTCCGGCAAAAAAAAAGTTGTTGAGTTTTCAAGAACATACTGACCCAACATTTCTATAACCAATAACCATATGTCCTCTCAGAGGACTTTTTGTGTGAAACTCAGGAAGCAGTTTGCATGTAAGCAAATGTAAGATTTATTTAGAGTTAAAATGATTAGTTATACAACTGTTACAAAGGAGACGAATGTGAAATGATCATCTATGGAGGTTTAACACATCAAACTTCATCTGAAGCCAGTTTATTCTGAATAGAAGGAATGGAATAAAAAGAGGGAAATTGTATTTCATATTATTATCTGGGGTTGATTTACCAAGGCAGCCACCTTCTTCCAATATTGTTGAAAGCACTGCCTTTTCCTCCATTTTAATTTCAAGGGTGGTTGTCACTATCAACAAGGTTATCTGAAAATTTACCTATTCTAAGTGACTAAATTGGTTGCCAAATGGTCACCTGACAGCAATTTAAATTTAGGTTACTCAATTTGACACCAACTTTTTTTAAGGTTAATGTACTTCAGCAATACCTTGTCACTGTCCATCCTTTGGCCATCAAAATAAGCATTATTAAGAATACAACATGAGAAGTGAAATGAAAGGCACGCCCTGTGATTAAAAAAAAAAAAAGTATATGTAAATATCTCATCAAATCAATATGTCAAAAATTTTTAATCCTCAGTAAATCTAATCCAGCACTGCCCATTTTAGATTCCTTTTTCCTAGTCAAGATGAAAGTGTTGCAGCATAGTTATTCTAGGGTTTGAATAAAGTAGAAGAGGATCATATTGCCTGCATATATCAAGTACTCAAACAGTTGTTTTGTTAATTAACATTTACAGTTTGAGCAAATTTACCAACATTTTCAAGGATTCTCTCTTCTTTGAATTACACCAAGCAAATGTTCAAATGTTTCCACAAACACAACTTACTTACCTACTACTGAAATTCCATATTTTTCAATTCCTTTTTTTCCATACTCAATGTAATATATTAGGTAGAATATCAAGCTAAGCACTGTACATAAGAAAATAAGAAATTTAAGTCAGTTAAATTATAAATTCTAATCAACTAATGTATACTACTAAATTGTGGAATACACGAACCATCTCCACTTTCAAAATGTGTTAGCATCCATCCTATGGTTGCCCACTTTCAAAATGTGTTAGCATCCATCCTAAGGTTGCCCACTCTCAAAATGTGTTAGCATTCATCCTAAGGTTGCCCACTTTCAAAATGTGTTAGCATCCATCCTAAGGTTGCCCACTTTCAAAATGTGTTAGCATCCATCCAAAGGTTGCTCGTATTGTGCACTTCAACATGTTATGTCACTGCTCTGGTGTTTTTCCTTTTTTTTTTTTTTTTAAATAATTACCAGCCTATTGCTAATAGAGCAAACTTTTTGAAAATTTGTGTCATTGAAGACCTCCCATGATGAAACACAACCTTGAATATACATTTAAATTATAGATTCTCTTGAGAATTACTGATTGGTGAGAAGAGAGTTAACTATTAATAAAAGTCAATGACTGTGTTTTCTAAGTCAACTTACAAAACTTTAATTACCTTCAAATGTCAGGGAACACAAATATAATTTGTATGAAAAGTGAAATAATCTTCGAGAAGTTAGTTGACCTGCAGTACAAAAGAATTATTACCAATTGAAATTACATCATTTCTGTCATTGTTATCATTGAGTCATAATATCTTTTATATCCAGTATAATCCACAACTGCACTGGTTTTGCTTTCCTATAATTTGTGATTGCCCCTGAAAACTTGCCCAAATCAGATATACTACAGTTCACAGGGAACCCAGGTAGACAATCAGACATGGTTTGATGCTACTCTGGTTTAAAGATTTAATGAATGTAACCAAGAAGTTACAATTCAAAGAGCCAATGTTTTGACACTCCTGTACCACAACAGGTTCTTTTATATGCTCACTAATTAGCTACCCTTTTCTCTGACGAGGTGTAAATAGGTGTCAGGTAGTAAGCTGCCATCATCACAATTTAAGGGAGTGAGGTCAGCATTGATAAACCATGTCTGATTGCCCTAATCAATCAACCAAACAATCAGATGTTACACTAATTCTTATTGTAATAAAAAAAAAGACGAGAAAGCTCCCCAAAGCCATGCCAATTAAATGCAATACAAGAGTTATTTAGAACAAAAAAGGAAAATATAACCAGTATATAACCATCAGTAACACAGAAATATTTCATAATATAAATCTCAAACATACTTGAAAGTAATGATTTGAGGTACTGATTACACGGTCAAAAAAGAGTAAACTAATAAGTTAATTAAAGTTTCTTACATGCTACATAGATGCCAAGAAACCACAAACTGGTAAATATAATAAAAAATGCTATGTCCATTGGAAGAATGACTGGAAAAGAAATGGAAAGGAAACAATTTAAAAATGTTAAACTGTCAATAAGTTGGTTACCATGCAAAATACATAATATAATTACTAATTGTTACTGTAAGTGATCATTAATATCTGTTGTTTGATTCCTTTAGTCTAATAAAAAATTATCAATTTTAATTGTAACATAGTGCATGCACAAGGCCTACCTACAACTTGTGTCTGTACACTATGTTAAAACAAAATTGGTTCCTGCTTTAGCTGTGTGAATATTGAGTTATGGATACACTTGGGAAGTTTGGAGCACTCAAGAGGCTTCTCCTGTGTTTGTGCAACCATAACTTCACATATATATGCATGCTAAGCATGGACCAATTTTTATAATTTAATTGATAAATTTTTAACAGGGAAATTATTGAATGATTGTCTATTGTGATTGTACATACATCTTTCGTCTGCAGAGAAATGCTTTTTCCAAAACGTATCTCCATTTGTCATTTCTAATCTGTACTTCAACAGCAGTCCCTAAAAAGAAGTCAAAATTTAATCAGTCTCATGACTTTTAGATCATCAAAGTTTTGGTGAAAAAGTTATCTTTTAGAATTCAGTTACAATAGGTCCCAGTTAACTCAAACTCCCAAGGGCAACAAAATTCTCCATTTCACAAGGATAATCATTTTTATTTTAAATTACAACAATTCTACATTCCAATCAAAACAACAAAATACTGTGCACTGTGACTCCTCTTAAAGCAATACAATGTGTACCTATTTATATCTCTAAAAGCACAAAACATCATCCACAAAGCTATATTTTGAAAGCCTGTAAAGAGGCTTTGATAAATGCAAACAATAAAAAATGCCTACCTTAGTAGACTTGCAGTTGCTTACAGCTAAATACCACCATCTCTCACGAGAAGATACAAAACGCCTATCTCCTGCAATAAAAAAGTTTAAAAAGTGATATGTAGAGTGTTCTTAAAAATCCAACCCAATCTTAAATAGCCAAGTTACAGTTGGTTTATGGATTTGGTCACTTATAATAATGAACTGGCACATATTCACAAGGGACTTTTTTCAATTTTGTGGTTTTTGGTATGAAAAGAAACTAACCCAATACATCATCTCTAGTTAATCCACATTTTGCTAGTTTTATCCTTTTTACACCCTAACATCAGTATGTATTTTCTCCATGCTCTTCTCTATACATTCCCTAAGGAACTGACAAGAAGAATTTCTTTAGAAATCCAGAGCTTCTTTTGTTAGTGGTCATGTGGTCATTTCCTTTATTCTTGTGACCTTTATGTGTAATACAGCAGTGATAATGTGGAGAAATTAAATGCTAGTCACTCTTAGAGGTTTAAAAAGTCAAGTAGGAAATTTTCATCATTGTTAGAACTGATCCAAGTGAACAATGAATAGGGCAAAGGAGGTGTTGCAGTGAAATGTAGTTCTTCTGAAACTCCATCTATAAAATACTTTGTTCTTCCTTAAAAGTGGTAAATGCAGATTTGATAAGTAAACTAATGTTGTTGCATATCCCTTTACACCCTAACGTCAGTATGTGTATTCTCTTTACTTTCTCTGTGTATTTCTAAAGGTCATGAAAAAGAGAATTTGTTTAACAATCAAGAGCTTCTTTAGTTGCTGATAATTTGCCTTAGTCTCACGACCTTGATGTTTTTTTGTCAGGAGAAATTAGATGCCAGGCCCTTTTAGGGGTTAAAGAGATATCATAGCTTTCACTGTGTTATTCTTACCAGTGCACTCTAAGTAAGATTCATTATCCAAATCATTCTTTTTACATCCAGACCACACATAACTGGTTGTAAGGTTTATAACTTGGTTATTCCCTCTGTACACCTTGTCTTCTTTATCTAAACAAGACTGTTGAACAAACATTTATTGTCAGTGATGAGCAAAATTTAATTATTTTTTCATATCTCCCTAAAAATTTCTTAAAGATTGAAACACCCAAAGGTCAAAAAGCCTGGAATCCATACCATAACTCATAAAATAAATAAATATGAGATATGGCTGAAAATAAATACATGCAAAGTTATATTTAGGCACAATTAAAAGTTTACATTGGCCTTATTCAAAGTGATTCAAGCATAATCTGCGAAAAGGAAGTTTAATAAAAATTTCACAATTTACCGCACCACCCAAAAAATGCTGAAGATTCATATGATAACAATAATCTAATAATAATAATAACAATAATATCAATAATACATCAATTATTTAATAATTGTGAAAATTATTGAGCTCAAGTCCACAGGCCTAAGACAAGGTTAAAATGCTTAACTAACTACAAATAATAACTAATTTGAGGATCAAAACACTCTCTACTATGTTACTCACAGGTTAATACCAGTAATAATGTCAAAAGCCCTCAAAATTAAAGACCTACCAATCTTGTTAAAGGCAGTGGACTGAAGTTAAATGGTAAATACTAACTTATTGAATTAATTTGTTACTTGATGTCTGGAGTAATTGTTGTTGCATATCAAAATGCATTAAACACAGAAAGAACTGCTGTGTCACATTTTTATGCCTAATTAATTTGTGGAAAGAGAGGAAAAAGTTCCTAAATTAACCAAGCTGACATGGATTTCAGAAAGGCATCAAAAGTTATATTAAGTGTTGATATTCATTGTGGTGTTATAGGTGAATGAAATCTCACAATGTAAGAGCCAGGCTAATCAATCATGTATTGCTTGCAAGGTTTTGACTGCTATACTGCTTGTCTTTCATCAGGGAACAAGCTGGAAAGTTTATGTTTTGCTATTTTAGCACCTTTGTTTGACATTATTACTGGGTTATGGCCTGCTGTCATTGGTGCATTTGGGTCCTCATTACTATTCTGAGTATAAGATCCTGTTCCCTCATAGGAGCACTTTGTGACTTATTGACTGTCATGGTTCAAAAGTTATTGTCTCAGACATGTAGATCTATTCCATATTCTTAATTTTCTGGTTCTGGGAAAAGAGTAAATTCCTGAAGACTAGCATCCAAAAAGTAGTAAATCTAGGCCACTATTTTCCCATCCCTTAATATATGATGTGGAAAAACTCCAAAACAGTTCAACAAAAAGACACCTGTTTCCTAATTGCTGATAGCACTGAGCACTGCATTTACAAAACAATACTGTTTGGCAGGTTGTAAATATTGGTTTCACACATGAAATAAATAAGTAGACGACAGAGGTTCCTCATTTAACTGAACTAAGACTTTACCTTTTTTAAAATTAAATCCATTTCAATTTAAGATAGGTTTGTTTTTAAATATATTTTTCATGAGCAAGCTTGCAATTTAATTGATTCTTATGAACTTGAAGACCTAACACCTTGGTTGAAAGGTTGTAGTCATGGGTTTGAATTTACATAATTCAATTTAACAGCCACAAGTGAAAATCTCATTTAGGTATATAACTTTGTACTTTTTTCAAAGAACTGACAGAATCCCACATAACTTAAGGGAAAAAAGGAAAGTTACTTTTAATACCCTAAATTTTCCAAAAAATGTCTTTCATTGTATTCTAATATTTTTTAAGTCAGAGGAGTCTCTATTTGAATGCCTTGCAATGAAGGTTGCTTTTCATCAATCAACAACTGCTGAAATTTGTCAACAGTCTTGAGAAAAGAACAATAAATTAAAATTGTGTTCCAGAGCCTAAAAGCTTTCCTATCAATTGCACTTTTTGCAAAAGGAGGTCACTGAATGACAATTGAGGATTTTAATAAAAAAACAAAATTACTCTTAGCTATGATACTTCAAGATTTATTAAAATACAGAGAACTATCTTAAATTTCCAATTTCAAAGCTATTAGAAAGAGAGCAATTACCACATGCTGTTTATTGCCCTTATTACATATACAAACTTTTGTACTAGAAGCTCAACTTTATTCTAGGTCTCAATGTTTCTAGAATGAAACAAATTGGGCTAATACTTTTAAATCAAGTTCACGCATGTCCCTTTTCAAGTACTGCTAAGACTTTGCATTTCTTTGGCAATTTTCATTTTTTTTTTTGATATTTTCTATCAATATTTGTATGCAGCTCCTTCAAGACTATATTATCAAAAGATAAGCCTTGCATACATTTGTTTACGTTTTGATTCTGTTTAATGTGGCAAGGGGAGAACATGATTACTAAACATGTTTTTTGTTTTGCTCCCAGCTTCAAAACGAGAAGAAAAAAAGGAAAATGTCAATAAGTTGAATACAATCTCTATTTCAGGCATTAAATAGAGCCCAGACGTACAGTTAAACCATGACTGAGTATTTTGAAATATTTTTCTCCTCACCCAGCTCACTTTGTGACAACCATCTGAAGATGAAATAGACTTTTTATGATTAAATGTTGTGTCTGATCTTTAAAGTAAAGAAAAACACCTGCATGTTCAGGAGAACACAATTTCAAAACCTTTCTTCCATTTACTTAAAATACATTTACCACTCTGAACTCTGCTCTACTAATACCATTTTATGCATTGTCTGTTTAGGACCCTGCAGCTTTCAATTTTCTGATCAGTTGAAATTTTTTTTAACTTTTCAAGTTTTTAGAGAAAGAAAAGTTCAACAGAATTTTTTAAAAAAAGGCTCATCAGCATGATAGAACTTTTCAATATAATTTTGAAAAAGGTTCATCAAAAGGGTCCTTTAAGAAAAATAAAATGAATTACAACATTGTACAACTGTCAACAGATTCTCAATATTCATGGTCAGTTGCCCTTAATTCATGAGGAGTTATTGAAATTGGTGAAAGTATGTGCCTGGAAGGTTCCTTTTGCATGAAAATAATTCAATGGCAGGGGATAAAACTGTCATTAACAGTCCAAGTTTTGAACGAAAAAAAAGAATTTTGAGGTTCCATGCATGAGACTGCAACCGGTTACCTCAAGGTTTATTAGAATTACAAGTATATTGGTCCACTAGCTCTACTCAAAATATTCATATACCAGATTGTTGTTATATCTTCAACTGCTATAAGTGACAAAGAAATAATTTCTCCCTACAATACCAAAGCAACTTCAAGCAGACAATTGATGAGAATAAAGAAAATATCAATGAGGGATTATCAGTTATCCAATACCACATTCTCAGATCTAAAATCACAAGAATTGTGTAGCAGACAGTGAGTAAAATTAGTAAACAGATCTTAGGAAAAAAAATAGTTAACATCCTTTACAAAGCTTGTAGAGGCACCTGGCATATTATTCTGAGTTTTTTTTGCTTTAAACCACAAATTGTCTTCCCTATGTCAGGACTCCTCTGTTTCACAGACACAAATTAAGAAAGCTACAGAATACAGTATCACATTTGTTTTTTCCAGAGGAAATGATAAGATCAAGATTCTTTTAGCAAAAAGAGAAGTGTCCTGGTCCTGAAAAAAAAGGAGCTTGAGGAACCAAGCATGAGGCTGTAACTAGTTACCTCATGGTTTATTAGATTTACAAGTACATTAGTCCACTATCTCTACTCAAAATATTTGTAAATACCAGATTATTGTTATATCGTGAACTCCTGTGAGAGACCAATACAGAATTTCTCCTTACAATACCAAAACAACATTAAGTGAACAAGTGATGAGAATAAAGAAAAATATCCATGAGAGATTATCAGTTGATCCAATACCACATTCTCAGAGTAATAAGGGTTTCCTATCATTCTGTGCAAACTGCAAACTGAGTACTTGAAAGGTCCATGAAGTTAATGCAATGTACACTAAGTGTTCTGTTGACAGAGCACCTTTAAAGGTTCCATGAAAATTTTCAGCTGTATTATACCATAAAAGTAGAAAAGAAAATACTTTCCTGAAATTTTATTTGATCCAGCGAGTCAGCAAAGCATGTTCTTTATATTTGGCCACTTTTATTGGGCCTGTTTTCAAGATGAAAACAAACACCTGTTTATGAAACCAAACAGCCGAGATAGTGATTCTACCAATTTTGGTTGATTTTAGCAGTTTTCTTCAATGTGTATTAAAATACTTTGGCACCTAAGAGTCAATACATACAGTTTTCATAATTTTTGGTTTTACAGCAACAACATGAAATACAGCTTTCTATTTTCGCTTCCTGTTTTGAATGAGGAAATATGGTATTACTGTCAAATACAAAGGAAAGAAATCGTGCTTTTCACCATAAAAATACATAAGGAAACTGTTATAATTATACATGATTTGTCCTGTTGTCTATCTTATAAAGAATTGTCATCGCAAATTCTAACATTATTAGAATCAAGGCATACAAAATACCCTTCCAATATTCTAACTGCATGTAACGTAATAAATTTGCTGAGTAATGACCAACAAATGTAATGATCTGCGATTGACGTGAAACTAGTTGTGAAAATAATTACCTGTTTTATTACTCATTCCCGTAGATATAAAAATTACCCTTTCTCGTGACTTACAAAAACAACAAAATGAATAGATCACCAGTTTTCGACTACATACAATGAGTTAAATTTGAGAAAGGAAGAGAAATTGCGTCACTAGCTAGCGTATGTTTTCAGGTAAATACTAGAAAAAGCTTACCATTTCAGGTTTAGGGTACACTCTAGGCCACTGAGTGTCGAAGTAAAGAAAAATATTCTGTGTAGCATAAGACTGCAAGAAAAAAACATATAAGCTGGAGCATGAACAAACAGGTCTCACTACACTCGCAATATAAGGAGAAGCAGCATGCGACTTCAAACGACAATACTTCGACGATATTTGTGGTATCCTGATCAACAACATTCAAACAATTCATCCATCGAGAACTTACCTCTGGGTACGCAAAACGATATCTAATTTCTCCAATTGAATCTTTGTAACAAAATCTCGTCAAAAAACTCCAATCCTAGAAAAATTCAAAGGAAAACGGAGCAATTAGCGAAACCCCACGATCGCTCGAACGCGCGCGTTCCAATCTTGAATTTAATTTGAGGTTCCACAATACACCAATCTTGTCATTGAGTGGACTTACTTCTTTCGTGTCTATAGTTCCTTCTACTATTTTAGGACACGTTCTTTTGACGTAGATTAACGTTATACAGAACGTTATAAGCCAAGGTCGTGGTCCCGTCGCCATTTTTTTTTCTTTCCAATAACATATGCAAATTGACAAGGTTGGTTTGAATTGCTCGTGACAATCTGTGTGTGAGTTGCTAGGTAACCATTTAAATGCAAACACTCACAAGGACCTTCTTCACACCAGAAACTGGGTTTTCAGCGCCAATACATTGTTTATATAAAATCAGGAATCGACCTATTCATACAACTATGACTGTAATATACAATAAAATAAATCACGAAATTTACTCTAGTGTTTCTTGTTAGTTTTACTATTTACTCATTCATTCAAGTATCGTATACGTAATTCGTTCCAGTGTAACGAACAACTACAATAGTTATTGACGCAGAAAGTTCTAAATACTTGGTTGCAGTCAAAATTGAAAATGGTGAAATTTTTTCATTTAGTTCTCGGAAAAAAATTAAAAAGAGGAAGTGAGTGCTAATATGTGTTACACCCGATGAAATATCACTTTAAAATTTTCGCGGTAATTCACGGTTTCTATTTCTCAGCGCCCCACATTTCTGTCAAGCCTGACATTTTGGATAGTCTGTTGCTTTTAAAACAGCCATGGCAAGGCATTTTGAGAAATTTGACAGACTTTGAATGAAGCTATCGCAAAAAATTTAATTTTTTTTACTTTGTCTTTCCCATTACTCTATTAACTTCGATCTTAGCTGGCTGACACCTGCTGACCAATTTCCCACGCTAAACCTGAAAATTTACACTCAATACAGCGCTATTATTGCCACATTACCAAAACGATTCGCTCAGCAAAACTCATACACATATTACTGGAAGAAATAAAAGAAAAAAATCAAAGTACATTCAAAATTCACATGACATGAAGGTTTGTGTGCAACAGAAGTTCAGCCTGTGGGAAGTGAAGCTTAATGAAAAACAAGGATAAATCCACGGCAATAAGACAAGAGACATTCTCGTACCACCAGTGGAATAAGAACTTCTTAGAATAAAATCGGGTTCCAGAGCCTTATAACCCATCAAAAGCAAACAGTATAGCTAAAGTTTTCTGATATCCACTGGCTTATCATCTCATATCACACTACCGTGTGGCCTAGTTAAAAGCCCAATTCACGGAGTGCTTTGGAGCGCTCACCTTCTATGCATAAATTCTTTTTTATGAAGGAAATATGAAGAAATTATCGTTTTCCAAAGGAAACTTTTCAGAGAAAAGAAAAACCGTTAGGGCTATTCCTTTATCGAAAAGTCACTTAAGTTTTTGTTTCGTTCCACCGTTGCTCTGCGTAAAAATGTTAGTCTGATCTAAAAAAGTAGCTATTTTGCTTGAAACAGGAAAACAGAAGTTATCTTTTGTGATCTACTTAACTTTTCATACTGAGGCTTCTCTCCGCATTGACTCGATTAAAAACTTCAGTTTTGCATTCATTAACTCATTTTTTCTGTAGCTTAATACGGGTTAGCTTCAGTTGTTTCTACGGGTAAGCGAGATACAAATCAGCAAAATTAAGCCGTGTTTTCTTTTGACACTGACTGACTGACTGACCGAAGCAAAGTCTAGTTTACCGAATGAATACATGAAAACAAAGTAGAACCGCAACGTCCCCAGGTGTCAATCAATATTCTTGCACTTTTAAGATTATCTCAGGATTATTATTCATCAACGGGCACTCCCAGTACCATTCTCCGCGATAAAGAACGCGATTTTTGCCACCTGAGTCGATTGCAATTGGTTACTGCGCAAAATGTAGGACCCAGGTTCCCAAAGGGGAGCCACCGATTTGTTTCAGCAGTAGGTCTTGATTTGGACAGCGGAGATCACTTCCCATTACGTTATCTTCTCAAATTAGTTCAATTCCAAGCGAACGAAATACGAGTGAACTGCGAGCTTGACACATTTATGGAATCATTATTACATAGCAAGTAAATTTGTGTGGTTTTCTGAGTATATCCGACAACTATATGATTCTTAGGAATCAGCCAGGTTTTATAGAACATCAGTGTAAAAAAGTAATAGCGTTTAACGTTTAAATGATATCATCACAAGATTGAACTCGCATATTAAACAGAGCTGTATTAATTATTGATGACGTGTTGTTTTCACTTTGCTTTTAAAAATTAAAATAACATCGACCTATGCTACTAACAAAATTACTTTTTGAAAGAATGGAGCTTATAAGACGAAGCCAAAACGATTACCTTTATTACTAAATCCCGAAATTTGTTTTAAAAGAGGAAACATTACGGGGCAACTAGAAAATCAGTAAGCAATTCTACTTTAAATAACAATTTATTCATGTCATTTCGGGCGAGGACAGCTGAAAGCCATTCATTTACTGGCTTCGTAGGTCAAGGTAAACATTAATATATTCGATTTTCCTTTTCTCCTATTCCCTTGGAATAGATATCACTGACAACAGTCTGTAGCTTGAATGAAATAAGGAAAGGGATATTTCCGAAGCAGGAGGGTGGCTGAGACATAGGGAGACTCATACAACCCTTACGAGGTATTTCTTTTTATCATTATTGTTATTTTGTAGTTTATGTTTAGGTTTAAATGTTCTTTGCTGTGTAAACAAACAGTTGGTCGACGTGATTTTTATCCAGAAACATCTTTTTCCTTTGGGTTTTGCACAGTAGTTCAGTAAGGGTTATTTTCGAGAATAACCCAAAATGTGCCCTACTTTGTTTTACCTCTGGAGAAGACAAAAGTGAGGGTTTTCCCGGGCTTCTCCTTCAAAACACGTAAACGCAAGTGCTTTCAACTACGCTGTTGAAATTTCGTGCATAGATATGCTTCTTACGGTTTATCAAAAGCACGTTCACAATAAAATAAAATGCAAATAAACAAGCTGTACAAAAACTAATCATTTTCGCTCAACGCACGTCACTTTCGTCATCTCTAATTTTAACCAGAGCTTGCTGTCTCATCGCTGTATGACCAGTAATCAGTAGTGATTTGAACAACATTCAATTTCAGATCTCAAGCATCTATTCAGTCAAGGTAGGGAGCTGACGGTTCAAGAGCCAAAACGAAATACTGCTCATGTGATTTAGGTCAATGTCTGAAGTTTAGATGTTCGTCATCCATCTTGTGATCGCCGTGTGATCCAGTGGAAAGGAACTGGATAGTCACCCACGAGTCATGCCCTTGTTAGTATATTTTTGTCAGTTTTTATCTATGTCTAATATTTTTTTAACCTTCCGCAACATTTAGAAATAAAGGGGGTGACAATTGTCGAACAAATTAGGATTTTGTTGAAAAACAACGTAATTTATAGACTTTGATAAACACAGATCCACTTTTTTCGTCTCATACATGGCTGTTTTGTTTCCGAAAATGCGAATCTGTTTTATGCTAATATTGCTGTAAACAGAATTATTTATTATCGTTGTAAAGTTGTAACAAAACACGATGTCCTTGTAACCTGTTCGACTGAACTTTCGCCTTTTTTAATCCCGGATATGTTCTTTGTGTACCGAAGATATTTCTAGAAAGATTGTAGTATTCAACTTCACACAATTCTCGACGGGAAATACATGCTCTTTCAATTTTCGTTTTGTTTCAAATATTCACAGCGTGCAAATAGTGCTAAAACCACTACAAGCGCACGGAATGCCGTGGAAAAGGAAAAGCTTCTTCATGTATATTTTAAGTTCTGTTTTCTGTGTAGGGAAACTATAAATGGAACCGGAGGGGGCGAATTAATTTAATTGTTACTGTCACGAAAAGGTGAATTGTGTACGTGAATATGAGAGAAAATGTTTGCTGGGATGATTCCTCAAATAGAAATAACGAAGACACCTTTCTGGTTGACAGGCTTACTATATGATAATTTTCTGCCTTTTGGCTCCGAGAATAATTCATGATTTTCAACCAGACAACTGTGCTTATTTGCCAAGATGCTTTATGTTAGTTCGCGCAGACGTGTAATAGCCATACCAAATTTTTGATGCCTTTTTGGATAGGTTGTTTTTTGTTTTGTTAAAATTAGTTTTCTCGTGAGTGATTTTACATGTCATCACGTAGCGATCTGGATTCTCTGGACTTTCGCGCAGAAAGATGCTCTATGCGTTTATTCGTTGCCCAGCGTTTATTGGCCAGAAGCTTTGTTTAGATTTTTACAATTGTCACACATGTGAATGAGTTTACCAAGTGGCCAATCAGCGTCGAGAACGGCTCCATTCACAGAAAGACAAGCAAATTCACGGTTTATTTTCGAAATGTTTCTGTACGAGAGCAATCGTTCGCCTCAAGCGGTGCTACTTTCCTTCGAATTGAATTCTCTCCATTCTGTATTGTGACTCCAGGTTTGTATTACAGAGATGTGACTTTGTTTTCCACAATCGATTCTCCGTAATGTTGTTTTGATGTTATATTGTATCTGACCGCTACTCCAGTGCGCTACGAGCAAATTTTTTCCCTCTACGACCTTGTAACTCGAGCTATCTACACGTATTCGATTTGTAGATTTTTCTCGGTTCCTTTTTCATTTCGATATTTTCTAACACAACTATTTCCTTATTTGGCAGGAACGTGGATGAAGATCTGAGCGCCAAAGGTAAATTCGAAATTTTTACTACACACCACTTGATAATTCTACGTCGAGCGGACAAGTCTGGGCTTATTGAGCGACATTTTTTTGTTCCATTCATGATTGCAACTTTATTGTGTTGCGAACCGTAAAAAACCAGACGGCCAAGGTTATGTACCGATCAAAATTATCAGCTTAAAATCAAGGTAAAGGACCTGTTTAAAGATTTTTTTGAGCAAATTCATCTCCAAATCGAAATCTGGCCAAAATCCTATTTATGGCTCCTTCAAAAGAAGCTTGTCAGCTGGTTCGGTAGAAAATCGCAGCTGATCTTAGCCGTTGTTCTTCACATCTTTCAGCGTTCGGTGCAACTTCGATGTTTTAAAGAGATCTTAGTCTAAGTAGTAGTACTTTTCCACAAGATCTCATGGTTGACTTTACGGTTCGATCCTATGAAGAATAGCATCGCGGATATTCATGCTAAACGCAATATTCAGATGTATCCTGTGTCACCTTGTTTTTAGCTGTCATACCGTTAAAATCGCAGCTTCGTTTAAAACCTTTATTCTGGCCGTCCTTTTGCTCGATTCTTCAAGAAATTTATCCACTCGAATAAAATCCTGCTGATTTTGGCGACAATCGAGCGAAAGCAAATCTTTTTTCGTAGTACACGTCTTGTGATGTCGTGTACGTCAATTTTAGTTTCCTTGAATTTGTAATTAGTATACAACCGAGACCTATCCACATTTTGAAACATTCTGCTTTAAAAATGGCAATTTCTCCGTTCACCCAAGATGGTTTTATTCAATCTTTCAATTTCCGATACGCCAAAATAGCTAATGTGACTATCTATGGAACCTTGTAGGAAAAAAACACCAAAATGTATATTCATGAATTCGAACAAAATTGACTTTGTTTTATGCAAAATCTATTTAGCGATGCCGTTAATTTTCTCGCTTTCATCGTTAATACTTACGAAATGTTTTGTCCTGCAGAGAACATGAATCGGAAAGCGAGAGTCCGGCGTGGAAATCCTGGAAAAAAATCAAATGAATACAGTTTTGCCTCAGAAGATACAAAGATCGCTCCATGTGATAATCAAGATATTTCCAATGTCAACAATCAACTGTCAAGAAATTCGGCCAAACGAAATCTATCGAAAGAAATTGACCAAGAATCGCACAGTGAAACACACGAGTTGTATGCACGAGATGAAAAGGGAAACAGAAACGGAAATATGGACGGACGTCCCTTTGTTCCTGCCAAGTGCACCTCCACGCCAGCTGTTTTGCCACAAGATTCAGATTTTAAACCGAAATCTCCACAGAAGAAGAAAAAGGCTTGTGAGGAAGGAAATTCTCTAAAGAGGATTCCAAGTGGAAGCAATCTTTCTGAAGGAAACATTAATCATGCAACATCTTCAACTGTTGTCAGGCATTTGGCTTTTCCAGAAAACAACAATGTTGCAAACAATGATTTGCTTGAAGAGGAAAATACAGACAGTGCCATTTCTGATGAGGAAATAGAGAGTGGATTTGAAAAATTTAATAACCGACAGAAAACTCCAAGAAGGCCTGTAAGTGTAAACCGTGCAGAAAACATTGTCTCTCGCACGCCAACTCCCACACAACAGAAATACAAGAAGGGGGACATTGTTCAAACAGAGAATGGTGTGCGCAAAAAATTTAATGGGAAACAGTGGAGACGGCTTTGTTCTCGGGAAGGATGCAACAAGGAATCTCAGCGAAGAGGTTATTGTTCTCGTCATTTGTCATTAAAGGGCAAGTCATTGACAAAAGGAGTTGGGATTCCAGGACAGAAAAAAGGAAAATTACATGGGAAAGAGCTCACATGGGAATCTGGAAATGAAAGTGAGGGAAGTGTGGAAGGAGAAGTATCCAGCAAAGGAAATGACCATTACAGAGACTTGAATAATAAAGAAGCAGAAGCGGCTTTTTCATTGGTGTCGCTGAGTAATTCCAGGTGTGCAACACCATTTTCTAACCCAGCCACACCTTTACCCATTTCACCAGTTCCGGGTCAGTCCCCATCTCCATCACCATATGGTAACTGCTATAACCGCAGCTTAACACCAGGCCAGCATCGTTCCGTAACACCAGTGAAAACCTGGGCTACAACCACACCACGATCAGGAAGGTCTTCAAGTGCAGAGCTTCGTTCACCATTCTTCTCAAATGGTGTGTCATTGTCAAATGCAGTTAGTCCAGATTCTGGTATTCTCTGTCGTGAAGAGTCTGGAAGTCGTGCTAGTAACACATCATCCCTCATGTCTCCTTTACCATTGCTCTCACCCATTACTCCAACAAAGAGAACATTCTCTCCTATTTCTCCTCCAGCAGGTACATGTCGCTCATTTTCCCCCATTCCCCGTATCCCTCCAGCAATTACAGGCAAAAGGACAGTGTCATTACCTGCACCATCAGCAATTACACCACCCAGAGATAAAGCAGGAAGAGTGATGTACTCTCCAATACCTGCCCAGCCACTGCCATTGACTTCAAACAGTACATTTGTCCCTTTTTCACAAGATACTAACAAGAGAGGTCAATCTGATCAGGAGAAAACAATGGAAAGTGAAGATGACAAAAATTCTCCATCAGAAACTGTGGAAGATGGTACTGAAGTAAAAGTGGAAGAGAATTTGCAACCAAAGGAGGATCAAGATGTATACACAAAAGATAGACAAACTGAACCAACAGAGTTAACTCCTAAAGTGATATTACCTCCAGTTCAACTGAATACAATTCAGATTTCTGTCTATCCCTGGCAGTGTTTGTTACCGCAACTCTACCATGTGCCTGTGAACAGCTCGCATCAGAAGGAAACATATGATGTTAATGTCTCATCACATGGAGGACAAAGCACCACTAATGAGCTGACTAAAATGGACAGAAATGAAAACCCAGGAAGTATGTCACTGGTAGGAGGTGAAGGTGCTAATCATGGTATAGGAGGGGACAGGAAGTTAGAAAACAAAACATCTGTCACTAGTGGACCAAACACAAGGAAAAGAGCACGGTCCACCTCCTTTAGTTCTCAGGATGAAGGAAAACCTCCTGCCAAGATACCAGTAAGTAGCATGGCAAGAATATAATAAAATAATGGAATAAAATGTAAAATTTTAAGAAATCAGTTTGTAAAATATTTTTAAAAAATCACCATAATTTTATGGGGATGATACTTAATTTCTGTAAACTCAGTGGTATACAATTACCCTTTCTTCACTCTTTTAATTATGGAATTCTCAAAGATGCAACATTTATTATTTGAAGGGTCAAGTGAAACATTAGACCTTAAGTGTCCTCTTGACTGAATTCTCAATAGACTTCAAAAAGTAATTTGGTTGTGTAAACAATTGTAGTCTAAAATCTCCTCTTACTATTACAGAATGTTGCAACCTACTCTAATTTGATAGCTGGCCATCATACATAATTCCCTAGGTCTGTTTATTTGCTTGAACATGGTTACAACTAGATGCAATGTTAAACCCCCTTTCTTTTTCTGGATTTGCTTGTTTCAGCAACTGAAGTGATCATCTCTCAATCATAAGTCTTGTTTGATATTAGTAAAACCTTGATTAAAATGGAAGAAAAATTTGTTGCAGTTTTAATTTTTTGCCACTTTCTTTAAAAGTTCATAAAATCTTCTAAGATAGTTACTCTCCAAAACCCTTCTTTTTATGTGAAATATGGAGAATTCTGTGCATAATGTTAAGTGAATTGTATGTAACCATTTGAATAAAGCAATATTGATATGCTTGGTTGCATCAGGTATTGTAGTAATTTGATAATTGGCAAAATTTTTTCTCTGAAACAATTTTACTTTGGTAATTTGACATTTGTCCTTTTTTAATTGTAAGGCACCTAGTTATCAAGCCAAGCAGGAGAAGGAACATATTCGCCGTCCAATGAATGCCTTTATGATCTTTAGCAAGCGTCACAGGGCTCTTGTTCATCAGAAACACCCTCACCAAGATAACAGGACTGTGAGTAAGATTCTGGGTGAATGGTGGTACAACCTTCCTGCTAAAGACAAACAGAAATATGTGGACCTTGCAGCCCAGGTGAGTCTGATGACTGAGTCATGCTGAATTGTACCTGATTGCATGTTGCATGTCTTTTTTTTTTTTAGTTTGTTTGTTTGTTTTTTCAAATTTGCCACTAAAGCATTAAACTGTATTTTCTCATAGTCTGCAGGCATAATGACCCATGCAAGATGTTAAGAGAGCACTAAAACTTTTTCTTAAAATCATTTGCCTACAGCTCATGACTTAAATTTTTTAGTGTTTTCCCAACATCCCAAGTGGGTGATTACATTGGTAAAACTATGAAAAGTATGGTTTATTGCTTTAATAAACTAAATTAAAACAAAAAAATTTCCCATGGATGTAGTCCTGCAATACACTGAGTTTTTGATCAATCAGGGTGCTGGTAATAGTTTTTTTATGATGCTAAATGTGACTCAGTATTCATTAAAACTGGGCTTTGTTAAAAAAAAGATGGTAATAACTTGAAGTTTGGTTCTTGAGCTGAGAAACTCCTTCCCACCACAACCCTCAGCTCCAAATCAAGAGATCTCCCCAAAGGCTTTATTACAGCAATAACAGTGTGATTTATTTGTTCTATTGCCAATGTAATATTAACAATAATAGTCTATTTTATAGTTGCGTGCTTAGTTTCCAAGCCTTTGAACTATAATGAGGCTAAGGGTGACCTTGTTATGATACAAACCTTGCTGCCTTTCAAAGGTAAATTACTTTGTTATCATGCTAACTAGATACTGGTCTCTATCACAACATTGTCAACTTCAGCCTCACTCCAAATCAAAGGCTTGGCAACTAAGTACACAACTAAAAAACAAGGCCTATGAGTTATTATCAATATTTATATTAATTGTCGTCAGGTCAAAGAAGCTCATTTTAGGGCTTACCCACACTGGAAGTGGTGTACAAAGGACAGAAAGAAGTCTCCTCGCAAAGTCTCTGACAGAACAGAGTCAAGTGATTCAGTGGGTAAGTACAGATCTGTACCCAACATCAACACTCTTTACAGATAATGGTACTTTTATCTACTAATTTATGAGAGCTTATAGAAATTCAATTACTATTTTTAAATGATGCATTATGAGAACTTGAATAGCTCATTGGGGTTTATAATAGGACATTAAGGGGACAGTTTACATGTCATGCATGTGGAAGTGGACAGAATGCATCACAAGCATGCACTGTTGTCTTGCATTTCACCATGTCAACTGTTCTTTTTTTTATGAAAACATGTAACCAATGTCTAGTTTCTTTCTCAAATGTTGTCATGGTTTTGATTAATTGGTAATGGGACTTTGTGTTGTCCAATTCAGGTTGTAATCATACTCATGATTAACAAATTGGACTTCTGCTTTGCAGCTGTCGGATTTTGTCAATCACTCATATGATTACAGACCAAATTGAACTCCACTCTGTCCTATTACCACTATTAAGAATTGAATGTCATATCTGACAATGAGGTAATTTGAAGCAGCAGTGACCTTCGTTATTGATTTTGCTAGGCCTTGAGAATTTAATTTCCATGTGCAGTGGCATTTAATCACCAGATAAATGATGTCCATTGTCTCCTTAAAATTTGATTTTGTACAATGCAGTGTAAGTTATTTTTGACATGGTCTGCATATTTTCCACTTTCTGACTTTAGGGGGAGATGGAGTGGAATTAAACAATAATGAAGCACAAGAGGTAAGAACAAATATCTCTGTCATTTACAGTACATTACATCAAGGGTGGTGATAGTGATTTTTTTTGGTCACTCTTGTTATCTTTGACTTTATTTCTGAGTTTTAAACAGATTTGATAATCAATAATTGCTTTTACAGGGCGTTTTTGACAATGAGAATGACGAAACAATCGATACTAAACCAAGGCTCAGAAGTAAACGTTCATTGAGCACACCAGCACATGAACAGGATCCATGTCTGAAGGAAGCTGTACACAGGCCCTACACCCCACAGCCAGTCCCAACAACACAGCATTCACTCTTTGAGCTTGCACAGGTAGTCTATACTGTTACACCTGGATGAACACGAGTTCTTTATTTCAGATGTCACTCCCATGAGTGACTAACATGTAGTTTCTCCTTACAATATCCATACATTATCCACCTTACAGGTCATGAGAATACTCAAAATTAACAGGTAGAAGTCCCTATCTTGGTCTAACACCAAATAATTTAATAATTATTATTGTAACTATTTTACAAGGAAATTCTAAGCAGCTAGAGGGGAGAATTAACAATCAGATCGTGGGAGTTACAGGCTTTGCTCAAATTTTTGTTTCTTGTTGTGGTATTTGAAATATATCAACCAAATCAGGCTTGGCTAGGAAGAAAAACATACCTTGAAATTGTTTAATATTTGATACTAAATAACTGTAATTTCCTTAAGTTTTTGACTGGTTTTTAATACAACAAACATCAGTAAAACATCATGCTAAATAGCGTTTTCTTAAACTAATGTTCTTTCGATTCATTTCAGATGTGTTCCGAGTTAGATGATAAGACCAACCCTAAGCAACCAACAAAGCCACCAGTGTCAAACAATAAACACATCACATTTGAACAAGGGACCAATGATGGGATGAGTGAATCAGAGGATGATGATATTGGCTCCGAGGAACTGATGTGCAATGAGAACATTGATGTTAATGACAAAGAGTCGGATGACTCCGATGAGGAGGAGCTGACCAACAGGGTGTTTCCACAGCAGAGGTTCTCTCCAGTACCTTTTACGGCAAGACGAAGCCAGACACCAGACCTTGGCAAGATCAGGTATTCCCCTATTGAATTCCCTGCCAAGAGAGCCGTGACCCCGAACATCTATGAACAAATGATCTCTAAAAATCACTCACAGGACATTTCTGGCAAAACGGCGTCCAAAGTGGTGGACTTTAGTTTCAGGGCACCAAAAGGGCTACCTCATTCAAATAAAAGTATGGACAGAACCACTGAAACTGCACCATCGCAGAGCAGTCAGTTCGTACGCCCAAAGCTGCCGATGGCAAAGACGTCCTCTCCAGGACTAAAAGTCAGTGGCTATTTTCAGCCAACTGGTTCAGTTTTTAGACCAAGCCAACCGTCTAGTGGTACTGCAAGCTCTAAGAATGCGATGTGTGCCAATGAGAGTGCCCCCAAAGCTGCTGTGAGCACATCTGACGTATCTCATGCGTCATTTTCACAACCGGTGCTATTCCCAAGTAACTTTACTAAATACTCTCCCGCTACAAATTTGTCTTCGACAAGTTATTCCGCACACGGATCACAAGTGAAACCATACAGAGGAACCAGTCATGCTGGGATGGAGCCAAGCAAAAGTCAGACCGACAAAGTGATGGAAAGTGCGCAAAAGGTTCCAGTCACTGGTCAAAACGAAACAAGGCAATCACAAGGAGCCACGTGCGTATCTACCGCTGTTCCACTGGCCAATCAAGTGGCTTGGGCAGGTGCTTCAGATTCCAGTTTCTTATCTCCCCTAACAGTCTCTGTGGCTACTCACACTGCTCCACCATTTCACAAAAGTAGTAAAACTACACTGGCTCTTTCACCAGTTGCCAAAGGGGTTCAGCTGAAGCCAATTGCACCAATGTTGTCCCCTCCGTTGTTGGCCTCATCTCCCAGTGGGGAAAAAGCATCCCAGAGAGTTCTTCTCGCCAAAAAGCCAACAGGACACCCTTCAGGAAAAATGGAGGCAAATCGAAGTATGCAACAAGGTTTTCTCTCCCATGGAGGGTTGGGTTATTGCAATATAAGCACTGCTGAACTACATGCGGGTACTCCACTTCTACAAAACCCGCCAAAGCCAGCACAAGGCTCCTATCACCGACAAGCTCATGTCGGCAACAGTAACGTGCCACCACGATCCGCCCCGCTGTCTCCGAAGGTGCCGTCAGCCAGTGCGTCCCTCTTGTCCCCAAAAGGGGGTAAAGGTATCCCAGAGACCTTTCCCAAAACTGAGGCTGCTGCGACCTCAACAAGTTATGCACAAGGTCACCCAAGCAGCCACAGACAACCCAGCAAGCCTCAGCCTGATAACTGCAGTGAAGGACAAGCAAATCTTGAGAGAAGTGATATACACACAACCCAGCAATTAGGAAAGCCTATACTCAAGAGGTTTATAGCTGACGGAATGGAGGAGTAAGTTCCCATTTCGTGAATAATCTGTTTATTTCAACTGTCATGCTTTACAAAGGTTGGGCAACGCTATCCACTGGATAAAACTCTATATGATGGATAACGCTATACGTTTTGTTATCACTTATCCGTCGGGTAGCAATTTATCCGTTGGATAGCGCTGTCCGACCTTTAGACGACTGCGCCCTGATAACTAAACCGTCGTCTTGAACACAGGCTGTGGTTTGTGGAACTGGCGTTCGGTTCGGTTGTAGGCCATGAGCTTAGTCTCAAAAAGTGATAAAATTCTGCCCGTTCTCAAATCCATCATTTTCGAACCTTTGTTTTATTTTACAGAGTCTTATCTGAGGTGAATTTCGAGAGGCAATTTGCGCAGCTTCCCGAATATTCGCCTTACCATCGCCAAGCTCGGGATGGCAGGTCAACAAACAACAAGCGTGGGGTCTTGACAGCAAGTAAACCGAACGCTGACGATTCTGGCAGTCAATCACCTTCTCAGGAAAGGTCGTCTTCTGGTACCGGTTCATCAGAAGAAAGCTTTCATGGCGCAGGTCACCGCACAACGAGCATGCCAAGTCTTGACGCGCTGGCAGAGGTCGCCGTCCTGGAACAAGGACTGAAGGATGCTGATAGGGAAGACAAGACAGAACCAGGCAGTCCCACTCTCTCTCCTCATAAGAAGCCAATGGATCAGAGACGTGCCGTGGTTCTTCAGCTGTTTCAGGATCATGGCTACTTCCCTTCTGATGCAGTGACGACTGTCTGTCAGCAGCGGAATGCAGATCTCTTCCAGACGAAGGGAGCGCTGCAACTCAAGATACGAGAAGTGCGACAAAAGATCATGCACAAGAGTGGTGGAGGAAATAGCAAGTAAGCTGTACTTAAAATACTAAATCGTACTTTGTATTGTTTTTTTTTCTATGTTTAACGTTGCAAAGGTACCGCCTACTCTGATGGTGTAGACATATATGACTTGCATAAATTCAGTGTTAAAGTGTTTGGTTGTCTGATCTGATAAACATATTGAGCTTTTTCAGGAGTTTTGCATTAAGAGTACACATAATCATGCACTTTTTTTTGTTTTTTGTGAGACGTCTAATTGGATATTTGAAATACCAGTTGGTAAGAGTGGTGGGAAATTCGAAGTCTAGGACTCAAGGATAACTGACCAATTTTATGGCTTTTCGTTAATTTAAAGGATCTTACCGCAATATTTGCTATTTGTTTCCCGAATATATATTTTTGTCCCTCATGGGAACTTACCCTTTCTTGGAAGAAGTGGGACTTTATCCCCTCTTAGTAGAAGCTTCTCGGTTGATTAACGGGAAGTAGGCTTCGCTAGAATTTGGAAGAGATGTTCCACCATTCCCTCTCCCTTTGACGTCTTTCCCCCCCTCCCCTCCATATAAACCTCTTCGTGGATAAATCATCCACGTAAGTGCAGTTCATTGACAAACGTAAATAGTTTTAAAACTCAGCATAGGTATATTTGCTATGTAGTACTGTCATGTAGAACTACCAGTAAGTAGTTATAGGTTAATACAGTCAATCGTCCTCTTTTGCAGTACATGGACATGATTGCATAAAATGTTCGTAGTTTGGCCGAACTCTAGTACCCAGTTGACGTGCGTTCAATTTATGTAAGGACAGCTATACAAATGGCAAGAAGTAGGACACATTGACTCTCTATAAAGTATGTTACTTAGTGCCATTTACTTACAGGACTTCCATACGTTGTCCACCCCCTAAAAAGCACTTAACTACTATAGGAAAGTACCGTATTTCCTCGAATAGATGCCTGGGCGCTTATTTACAATTTCGGCTTAAAGGAGGGGCGCTCAATAGAGGAAAGTGCTTAATCAAGGGGTGTGCTGTGTGCTTATCAAGAAATTATTCACCTGTACTGATTCCGTGGCAGGTTTTCCTTGTATCCCTACCATTTAAGAAATAAGGGAAAAGGGTGGGTGCTTATTCTAGAGGGGCGCTTGTTTGACAGAATGACCTCGTGGGTTGACGCTTATTTTGGGAAGGACGCCTATCAGAGCGTTCACATATATTCGAGGAAATACGGTATTCCCATAACTATACATAACAGGTTATTTATCTTCTTTCACCGGTGATTTCTGCTGTGATTCCAGTTAATGGACTTCGTTATAGCATTATATGATAAGCTGAAATATACACGCAATTTGATTGGTTCTTACTTACGATCTATTTAAGGACAGACGTATAGATGAAGTCATCATTAACATTTTGCTTCTTTTATCTTATAAAACAAATAGACTGCATGTTGCCATGGGTCTGTGCAATAACTGATAACAGAAGACGTCAAATGTGGTGAGGATATCAGGGACGCACTCAGCTGCGCCTTTTTTTTTGTTCGTACCACATTTTGATGTCATCTGCGAACTTTTACAGGCGCTTAGCAACTTGGAATCTGCATGTTTAATATAGTTCAGTTAGTACGCCCCGCAGTGGTGTACTTCTCGTGTTTGTGTTACTGAAAGCTTATGATGTAGTGTTACATATGTAAATTAACTTCCATTAAGTTGTTACAGTGGAGACAGGTCTTGCTATGTGTAGGCCAAAAGCAGTTTTAGAACTGTACTTAGCCTAGCTTTCTTACCGCTAAGGTATATTGCTATTTTCAAAGGAGACTTGTGCGAATTGTTGCTTGTTTTGTTATTGGTCACCATAAGGTATTTATTGACTGCGTGTTAGTCGCCATGTTGAATGTTATTGATTTAGTGCTCGGTCCTTCAACGATTGTTTGCGAAGGAGGAACTCGAAACATCTTCGGAAGATTCCATTCAAAATGGCGTCTGACACGTGTTCATTATTGAGTGAACTTGTTGTATGGTGTGTTTTATTTATTGAGTTCAGAGACGTGGTGTGTATAGTTGTAAGATAAATGCGATGGCTTAAGTGATTTGAGGATGGATGTACATATGATGGATTAATTTGTTTTTATCGCCCATAGATAGTTATATAGTATGGAGTCTGTTGTTATGGAATTTTAATGATTAATGAAGTAAGGTATCAGTATGGAGTTAGGAAAGATTTTCAGCTAATTATGCTTTTAATGATAGTATTGCGTGAGTATGATTAAGTTTGTGTCATTTTTGCCTTTCCACATTCAAAGAACTTTACATTAGTTGCGTGACAGAGAGTGTTTTAAATTTTTTATTACATCTGAATGAGCGTGACTTACGTGACTCTTCGGTCACTGGAGGCTATGGCGGCTCTGTGAGATTTAATCGAGTTTTTGCTTCTCTTTGATCGATAAATTCGCAACTTAGGTGGTAAAATATCCAAATGCATCGGATGAACCGAATAATTTGAGAAGTGGCCACTATCTCATAGTGCCGTCAGTCCGTGGCATTTAACGATGCATGGAAACCAGTAGGGGCGAGAAGTGTAAGCAGCAGGTTGCATTTTTACTTGACCAATCAACGTCTCGGAAACTCCTGCGCGACAAACTGTACTTCTCACTTCAGTGGTACTAAGGGAAAGATTTTCCTTTTTTTTTTCTTTTTTTTTCGTTTTGTATTATTATTATTATTCATTATGAAGTAAACATTTTTTCGTAACTGTACCATCCCTCTTCAAGTGATAGGTCTCAATGAAGTATGGTACAGAATGTTAGACGCATATTTTGCTGGTGAGTGTAATTTGGGAGCCGCTCTGAAAATAGTGGTCATTAAATTAGCATTTGGATATTGGCTTAAATGTGATTACTGCATGGTTTTTTTTTGTTTAATATGTATTTCTAGCAAAAATGTTTGCATTTGAACACCGCATGTTTTGCCACTGTTGGTGACCTTTTTTAGGCTTGTGTGTGCATTCGTTCGTGCGTGTGCGTGTGCGTGTGTGCGTGCGCGTTCGTGTACGTGCGTGTGTATGCTAGGATAGCCTTAATGTCTTAGTTTGCGGTAGATTTATAACCAGAGCATTTCTGTGATCGTATTTAATTCTTTTACATCGTTGAGAGGCGCTCCTTACGGTGCACAATTTATGCGCTAATTGTGTGAGTTTTGTAATCCCAATCAGGAATGTGCGTTTAACTTTTGTGACTTTGATGTTGTTATTAGTATTCTTGATTTCAGAGACCAAAGTCTTAGGACTGCGCATGACCATAACTCGTCGTCAGTCATGCGCACTAGAATAGAATACTGGATTGGAGTTAAATCAATGGATTCTGTGTAATTTTCCGACCCTAACACGTAGATAATAAGGCACCAGCTGTTGCCTAATGTAATTATTAAGCTCTAATAATAACAAATTAAGAATACAGAAGTCTTAACTAGACAAAGATGGGAAACAACTCAGAACATAATTGTTTTGAATGGAGACAAATGTCAGGAATTTGCAAAGTTTTCATTTTGATGGACTATATCTATTTACTACCTTTGCGTTCAAAACAAACGTTTTCAAGATTCTTTTTGCTCTTGTGTTTTTTTTTATATATATATATACAAATAATAACATTTTTATTTCCAGTGTGTGATTTTTATTTTCTACATTTTTGAATTTGGTGTGGTTCCATATTTTATCTCCTCCTAATGTTATTGCTCATAACTAGTTGCCTCTGGCAAAAAGACAGAGATTGGGAACGAAAGAAAGACCAAATTTCGATGTTATCCAGCTATTGCTCGGTAAACGTTCGGAAGCTCGCCTCTAGCGTTGCCTTGCTTATTCCATCGCTCGGATGACCGGCGTACATAGGGAAGAAGTGGGCGAAGGTCATTCTACAGCCTAGAGCTGTCTTTTGGAACGTTACAAGTTGAATTTGACTTTCTTTCGTTTCATCTCTTTGTACAGCAGGTACGCAGGTTACCGTCGAGAGTCTAGTAATACTGAAAGTGGATAAATGACAGTGAGGCCAGTGGAAAGAACTAGTTTAATTGCCTTAGCTGTAGTTAGAAGCAGATTGATTCGGGTCTCGATCGTTTGTTATTTATCGTAACCTCTTCTGTTTCATGCTATGAAAAGACAATTTGGAGTTACTGATTAATTGAAAAACCTTATACTGGAACGAGGTTTGGTCAAGCAATTAAAGAGAGATTTTATGAATGTGGTGTAATTCATTCTGGCTCTATGTGGGCGTCTGAACTGAGCCGCGTTTGCAGGAGTGGCCCTCAGTAGTCGTCAATGGGGTCTTTTGATCCAACCCTTCCTGAGAACACTTTCCCAAAATCCGAACAGTTTTTATTTTGGTACTATTTTAAGTCTCTTACCCCTGCTGGGAAAGATTTCAAACCAGGACATCGCTGATGAATGTAAATACAGGTACAGCATCTTACACAAGAAGAACACTGATGCGTCGCGTCTGTGAAACATCGTGAATGAGTCTCAAAACGCCTTTCGACAACAAAAAAATCAAGCGGACTATTATTGCTTTTTAACCGGACTACACCCGGGACTCGGTTCTTTGGAGCAATATTTCTTGATCTGCCTTTTACGAACCCATAAAAATAACCAGATCCTGTTTCTTAATGATAATATAACTTCCCAAATCTCGCTATCCCCTTCTCTAAAAATCACGTATTCAGATAAGTGCATTTAAAACTCTGTTTGATTTTAGTATCCAAGGCTAACTTACTCGGCTTTCTCACTCAGTGACACAATTATTTAGGTAGCAATTAAAAAAAAGGACCCGTATGCCAGATCTCCGTGTTCGCTTCTACACCTCTACGTCATGCTGCTGTACTTTAAAATAATCCTGTAAACCTCGGGTGAAAATGGAGCAAAAATTAACTCCTTGAAAGTCCTGTGGACTCCTTAGCCATTCACAATCAACTTGAGATTAAAGAGTTAGAAAACTATACTCCTAGACACATATTGGAACACCCAATGCCTTCACTGCCACTCTAAATGTTACTTTGCAAGATGGCATGGAAACATTGGCGATTCACCCGCGCAACACTGAATGGAGGAGAAGTATCTCAACTTGTAATGTCTGAGAGTGTAGGTGAAGAATGCAGTAGCTAAAAATCGGCTCGCAGAAAATCAGATAGCACTTTTGTAATTTCTTTTTACATATTTTAGAAGCGAGTTTTTGCATTTTGTTATCATTGCATTTAAACTTGGTAATAGAGCTTTGGGAGGTTCAACTCAGTGGAAGTCTTGCTTGCAAAGACAAATTTCCCTCGGCCCACGCGCTCGACCAAATTGTCGCTATACTATGGTATAGGAAACGGTATAGTTTAACCGACAGAAAGAACTACACTCTGACGAACCCAACTACTTTAATGAGCAACATGTCCTAAGTCAGAATTCCTAAAAATTCCGAAAATTCTCTAAAAACGTACTTGAGCCTACTACATATATTAACTTAGTTCACCGCGACGCAAAGTCACTGTTGCCTCCAAATCTCCTCGAGATACAGAATCTTTCAAGTATGCCACAATAGCTCTCTATCACTGTAGCTTTCCGGATAGCCCGTCTCTCCTGACAACAGCATCTCTTATTCCTAGACGACAGTCCTTTTAGAAATTCCCCACGTATTTTAGAACCTTCCGGAGGCCAACAACAAAACTATTCTGGTAGAATTACAAAACCAAATGAATGTTCTAAACAGTTCCATGGTAGGAAATCGATAAGCTCCGTGACTAAGCATCCCAAAAATTTGCCAGAAACTACTACTTTACAGTCAATACCTATGACCGTGCTTCTATTTCACCCGTCGTGTCTGTCATTGGACAGTACTCGTAATTTGCGCATGCTGTTTTATCCACGACTGGGTTGATTTCCTCGCGGGGAATAACTAACTTCTCTTTAATCAAGACAATGTTTGACAGATGAGTAAACTGACTTTTGGGCAATTTTTTCATGTTTCCGAGGGAAAAAGTAAACAGAAACGTATTTGATGCGAGAATCATATCAGTTATCAGTCTGTAATTGTAATAGGAACGCATAGCGTCCAATTCGGTCTGTAATTATGCAGATGAAACGCCAGCGAAAGTCCGATTTGGCTATCACGGGTATGATTGCTGACCGACTGGATAACAGGAAGTCCTGTTGCTAATCAATTGTAACCGTTACAATTTCCGAGAGTAAAAAAATTACTCAAGGTAATAATGCCTTTTCACGTCAATCTTCTCACAGTTTGTTGACTGGTTGATACGTAACTGTCCGATTACAGGTGAACAATTACACCTCACAGCAGTGAAGAGGTGAAGAATATGGGTATTTCACCCACCTATCATATTCGAGGAAATTTGCTATGGTTATATGTATCTGTAAACCATTTTACCTCTCAGTTTTAGCAACTATATTAATCTTATCCCATGAGCGGTTTAACATTTAATGCTATTTTGCGAGATGCATGGTATTTCTCGCCGGGGCTCGGAAAAATACGAAAAATGAGGAAAATGTCCACGTGCAGGAGTTTCCTGTTAGAGCACCAAATGAGGCATTTATTTTGGTTCCTTTTTTTATTTCGTTTTCTAACTGGAAATACACCCTCCGGTATTATATATCTAAGGATTGTAGTGATCTGATAGAAAGTGCGCGAAAGACGAACACTTTGAAAGTATCCTTGCTAACAAAAAAAAGAACCTGCTCTCTCCATACGTCGTCGTTGAAAAGTCAAGATTAAAGGATGCAAACAGATGAAAGATTGCGTCGTTGAGCAAGGCCATTCAGTTGCTCCGCTTTCTGTCCGTATTTTAGCCTTGTTTTACAGGATAATACCTTAGTTGCATACTTTGCGCATTCTGTTGCTCTCAGGAGGCAAAATTGCGTCATAACGTAATACCCGGTAACAGTTTCGGTTAATCTCCGCGACCTCTTGGAGATTAATTAACAAATTAGCTTCACCCACTCGGCGGATAATACTTAGAACATTTTCAAGTAATCTGTAATTAAAATGAAGAGAATATTCAAGAAGATTCGCCTTTGGATCCGTTCACGGCTTCCTAAAGTAATGACCTAAAATTCTCCATTATTCTACGGTTCTAGACTTTTCTTGGGAAAGTGTCATTGATTCATCCAAATCGTATGAACCTTGTTTGAAACAAAACCTGTGTCTTGTACAAATTGACATGTTTTTACTTGTATAAAAAATTGTTTTGTTTCACTGTATCAGGAACTATAGCATAAATGTTCCAAATTTGCTTTGAAAAACATCACTATAAAGTTAAGGAGGGGTGAGGGGAGAGGGCGGCGGGCGAATGAAATAAAAAGAAAGCATCTCAAGAAGATGGTCAACAACCCGTCTGCTTTTTTCGTTTTTGTTTTCTTGTATTTTTTTTCCACAACGATATATCAGATCATGCGACGGAACATTTAGCAAAATTCCAAAAACCATGGCTCTGATCGTTTTAAATTCTCGTTGAATAGGATAAGTTTTCAGGTTAATTAGGGTTAATACGTCGCTCAGTCATGAACAAAAAAAAGAAACGGATATCACTTTACCTTTAATGCTGCATTTGATGTCCATGACGTTTCGTTAATATCTTAGAAACTGCTAAGAAGTTGAAACAATCTCTGACCTTTTAACAACTAGCCGCACGTACATTTACGTATGCTCCGACAAGCGGTCCTATAGTGGAAAAAATTTAAACAACGTTTTCGTGCGATTTTTACATTACCTCACAGAAAAACTTCGTATGCATTTTAAAGACAAGTGAGAAACATTTGGAAAGCATGCGCAGTGCATTAGAGCCGAGACGGTAATTTGTGACCGAATTGCCTCCGAATTTTTACGCTCATGGGTACTGGAGTACCACAGATCTTATTAACATGAAACCCCCAACACAAAGTTTTTCGATTGGTCAATATGTTACATTCGCATGTTTTTCAGAGCATATAATTGGATCGGAAACATTTAAAGCGATCATCTCTTGAATCTCACAACTAACATTCCCCGCAAACATTGCTTCACCGGTAATTTAGTTCAATTGACTCTTGCGCGGAATCTCGAGCTTGCATCATATTAAGCAGATATTCTGCGCGCTTGAAATCGAATACATTTGTTGTGTCTGGGAATTTGGTTCTTGGGTTAATCATTTTGTTTTACATACAATGTCTCCTTTCTTCTCGTGGTATTGTGGCAAGTATCAAACTTAACCTTTACTGTTGTTTCCGAAAACAGCCTCCTTATATATACTTAGGAACCAAAGCTTTTACCATTACCCTTGACTTTTCCTTAGTAGATTCTTAGTAGATAATATAAATTTGCTTCTAAAATGCTCATGCAATATTTGTACGAGATGCATTTCCTTCCAAAAATAGGTTTAGAAAGTCTATTTTTGGCTGTGAAGCAAATATTTGATGACAATCATTTCAAATCTTGCTTAATACATGAACGCTCACTTTACGAACTTAAAAACCTATAGATCATTTCCATTGTACCTTTGGATACCATTTTTAACAATGTTTGAGTTCCGGTCAGGATCAGGAATTTGATGCAATAATCCGCGCGGAAGGCGATAAGTTTTTTTACCTCCCTTTGTTGGATTGTTACCGTCACCGTTGAAAATGAGCTATGTATCCAATTAGCGAGGAAAGATATTCAGGGTTTCAACATAATTTATCTGCAGCTTTGCATTTTCGGCGTGTTTTATGCTGGCTTCCTTTCTCCTTCCCATGTGTGTGCGTGTCATTCAAGTTTAGACGTAGTGAATGAGCAAATGAATTGGAAAAGATTAAAAATTAAAAAAGATGAACTGACAGAGTCTTGAGGAGCGTATTATGACTGTTATTGAGTTAATTGCAAGATGATGCGTCTGGAGAGGAACAACTCTTCCTCTATCCCCTCCCCCCTAAAAAATAACATTGTGATTACAACCGCTTCATTGTACCCTTCGAGAGCAATGGAGATGTAACTTCCTTAATTCAATTTCTATCCTTTATGGTCTTCCATCTGTTTTGTATCCCTGTCCATTAAAACTTGTTTGACAATACGCGCAGACGTAATGTGATTAACGAGTCATTAAATTAGCCGGGCTCTATACTTAATGAGTCGCCGCCTTTGTTTTCTGCCTGATTAAGAACTTCTTGACAAAAAAAAAATAAAAGAAAAACTCAAACAAGATCGACAGATGAGAAAATGATCTCCCGAGATCGTTTGATGGCGAAAGATAAAAACAAGATCAAAGAGCTATTATTTTGCCCAGGAAGCGTGAACTGCATAAGCAAAATAATAAAATTCGTAAAGTAAACGCATGATCGCCCAATAATCTGTATTCTTACCTTCCGTGAGATTCAAATAATCAATTGGAAAGCGTCCAGTCTTTTATCACCTACACGGACGTTGATTATCCAGGATGGTTTTCTGAAAAGAATTGGCAACTGCAGACAAACAATGTATGAAAACAATTTTGTGAGACTTGCGCTCCAAAGAGCAGAAGGTTTTCCGATTTTTTGTGCATCGCTGTGAAGGAATTACTTCAGACCCATCTCGCCGGCGTTCCAGCAAGGAGTTTGTTGTTAACGTAACATAATCAGAAGCGTTTGCTCACCAATCAAACGAGGAAAACACTCAAACACTCAAAACAAGTTGGTGAATGTTCATGTTTTATTCTGGAAATCATCAGCATACAAAGCACTGAAAATCGTTGACTGAAAAGTGTTCTGACATTCTTAGATACCTTTACCTCTTTACAAAACGTGGTTGGGTTTTTTTCTGCTAAAAAGAGACCTACCTAGCTAACATAACTAGCTAAATAGACCTTAACAAAATTAAGAGTGAATGACTCACAATGCCATGAATATATTGGTATTATATTTGAGGTTTGCTAAGCCATGGAGATTAATGGCGTTCGCAATCTTGCCTATAGGATGAGTAAAAGCCAGGAATCAATCGTGTAGCTCGCTAACTTGGTAACAAATATGCTCAAATAATTTTCTTTCAAATGCATGAAGATGTGTAAACAAAGTATTTACTGCCGATAAACTAGCCAGCTGAACTTTGAGCCTTAGCTTCGTTGGAACTCAACACAGATTTATCTAGAACATGGTGTTGAGCGCGACAGTGCGTCCCGTAAGTAAACTGTAGAAACTTATACCATGGAACATTAAAATCTAATTCATATTCATTCAATTTAACAAAAGTGTCCTATTGAAAGCTGTGACTGCGGTTTAAAGCGCTGTCACTGGAAAACAATGCTAGCTGCACAACGCAACGTGTAATCAATGTAAGACTCAATCTGTGGTTAACTTTCATGGTATGGCAATTGTCTCCTTTGTCTTTCGAACTCTTATTGTCCAGTCTAAACTAACGATGCAACAACCAACAGTTGTTTTACAACGAAGGGAGTTAAGTTTCATTGTAGTAATGCAGTACACGTGGACCATAGACACGAACCTGTGGTGAGAAATTCCCACAAGTTCGGATCTACGGGTTCAGATGAACCGCTGGATCTTTCCGTGACTGTTCTCTTCGTTTATTTGCTTTGCTAACAAAGTGGATGCCAGCCTTTGTTAAGAAAATTAGCGTAGAAATAATAGAGACTTTGACCACGTGCGCTCAAGGCATTTTAAAATGTAATACCTGTCTTTTCACACAGTTAACCGCCTACTGCTCAAGAAAATGTTTGCTCTCTCTCGTCTCTCTCGTCTCTCTCGTGTTCAATGACTGCTGTTACAAAGGTAGTCCATTTTGAAAGCTGACTTTCCTGAAAGGGTCTTCAAAGCGACATTTTGGAAAAGTCGAAAATATAATGCGACAGAAAATGTGGTCAGATAATTTCTCACTAATTCAGTGCTGTCAGTTTTAAGTTATTGCAAGACTAGACGACAAGGATATTGTTTACCGACATGCGAAACATACACATTGCCGCTTCATGAACAATAATAAGTAGTTTGCCTGCCGTTACCAATTAAAAATTATTCTTGATAGATTGATAGGCTTGACTTTTTCAAGCACATTTCCCTCGAAAAATAAGCGAGCGCGATTTCCTATTTGTCGTGAGATCTTCATAATATGCAACACGATCAAATGTCAACATGACTTAGACAGTTCAAACCCTATATACACTGTTTGGCGACTAAAGAAAAGATAGAATCATTTCAAACAATTTTTGCTTTTCTTACATGGTTTTCTCTTTTTCAAAATAGTAAACCTTAATAGTTGTGTCTTCAAGGTATTGTATTGTGATATCACGACCCGTAAGGGCGAGGTTTCCGTTCCCCCAAACGCGAAAACAAGGTGGACTTCGGAACCTATGTGTTTGCTTTTGAAAAACCTACAAACCCGCTGAACTTATCAAACGAAGATCCACATCCAGAGTTCAAAATTAAGATATATTGAAAGAAAAAAATTTTCAGCCGACACACGAAGTTGCTTTCATAATAGAGAGTTCGCTCATTTGTGTCAATTTGAACGATTATTGGGGTAGAATTATTCGTTGACTTTGGATCGATTCAGATTCCGAAAACCTTTGCTGGATTCAATAAAACTGTGATAAGAAGAATCTTGAGACAACGCACCAATAAAATGCCGGAGTATTCAGCCATTGCCACAGACGTCCTCTTCAAGCTTGAGCATAGAGTTCCAACAGGAATGTATCGCCGAAGTGAACCAATCACTAATGTGGAATAAATATGGCTTGGTAAATATATTAAAATCGAAAAACTGACCATAGTTACATGAACAACATGAGCACTCTGCTGCAAAAATTCTTGATCTATTAACCACATTTTCCATCCTCATATCCTAAAGCTTAGAAGAAATATCTTAAACTTTCCTTATTAGGCAAAAATATTGTGACTTGAATGATTATTATGGTATCTCACAGGGGCGTTTCTCTACGTTGCTTCCCACAAAATCTTCCCTTGCTGATAAATTTTCCGGTTTGAAGGGTAAACCTTTTTCAGAGTACTTTTCATTTGTGAATGGTTTAATTTTGCAAGAATTGGATATTTATACGTAACGTGCTCGGCGGTATGGAGTCTCCTTGTTCTGCAGCAACATGCAACTAAACACCGGTGGAGTTCATCGAGGAGCGTCACAAATCTTCTGTGGGACCAAGGTTAATTGGTGAAACAAATCAAACACCATCCTTCGTTCGAAATTTTAGCATCTCTGAGCCCTGATTCAGAATCTCTTATCTAAGATCCCTCGACAACGCTGAAAACAAAAATTGTCAAAAGGCAAGGTTTAAGATACACGGGTCGTTGCATCAATTCCGCCTGAGGTTATCATGCCACAACTACCTACAACAGTTTCGGGAAAAAAAAACATTGAATAACATATCAAGCCTAACTTTCCTTCCAGTGTAATCAAGCCCTAAGCATTGCTACCTGATTATTTTTCAGGGTGAAAGAAAAATTAGATTGCTGCAGTTTCTCTCTCTCGCTCTATCGAAGCCGTATAAGACGACAACATGCCTTCATCATTAAACTTGCTATAAACAGTAATGGATCAAAATTCATCAAGCTACAGCACGATTTGAAGCTCTAAGAAGACAGTTTAAAAGGCTGTTTTCTCTTAGGAAGTAGATACTTTTCGGGTCTTGGCAACTAACCGTTGAAATCAGGTGATATGAAATGTCATTTTCTCGATCGCTTATATTAATCTTGTCATTGTTCTATGGTCTTGTGAAAGATTTGCAATCCACCCTCGGTCGTAAAAATAGTAATTAAATCGATATATCTTTTCTTGAATGGCTTTGTCTAAAATAGCTGTGTAGAAAGCCCCCATCGACGAAGAAATCCTAAAACATTTCCAAACGTGTTTACTCCATATCACTGAAATACATAAGCTCCAAGGTATTGTCAGAACCAGATTCCAATCATATCAGAATAGTAATTTCAAAGGAATGAAAAGAAGCAGTTAAAAGAAAACGAAACTAAAATGTTGTTTCCAGCTTGTTACTATAATGTTTCAGATGTCGTATGAAAGGAGGACTGAATTCTGAACAAGACCTCTCCTCTCCTGGGGAGATACATAGATACAATGATGATTCTAGAATTTGCAATTTCGACTTCTTGTGAAGTCGAAATTGCAAATTCTTCAAACCAAATAATACATGAAAAGAAAAATCAACATGTTCTTTCCCTCAGCTAACTATAATCAAAACAGAAATTGCAAACGATTGTCCCTTAACGACCTTAAAAATGATCTAATTGTTCAGAAAGTTCATTCAATATCAGAAACCCCATTATTCCAAGACATCATTAAAGAGTAAAACAATGTTTTCACTCACAAAAAATGATAGCTCTTTCATTCGAAGGGAAATGCGAAAAAACATCCTGTAACTTTTAAAAACATGCAAAAGAAAATGAAACACCGACATACAATAAGCTATAAAATCGTTTGATGATCATTGTTATATGTCCATTCAACAAAGGAGACAACTCCAACTTTCCTCGCATATATTGTGTTTCATGAATTTGACTCCAATAAACTATAAAAATCTCTGAATTTGTTGCAGGATGCTGTTCTTCTTCTTGGCTCACGATTGATTTTTGCGAAGTAAAAAGATCAGGCAGTGGGAGAAAGGAAAGTCTTCATCATTGCTTTGAAGTTAGCATTAGCAGTTTGCTTTGATTAAATGTCCATCTCCATTGTACCATTGAATCATGCGTGTTCTTTCGAAAAACACTAAAAATATGTTTTCCCTGAGACTAATTTTCTTTTCAGTGCTATGTAAACGATCTTTCTCGAGAGAATGGCGTAAAAGGGTATTCGAAAATGAGCTCACCGTATCACCTTACTCGAAACTCGAATCACAAGTGCAATGCATGAGCCTGGAAAAATAAATAAAGGCTTGATTTAGTCTTGGCTCCTTTGGTGCACATTAGATCGTTCTTGAAGTACATCAAAAGTTTGTTTCCTTTCTTCTTCAAAGAGGTGATATAAAGATATAAAAACATAAAATATTTAGACTCCATACTAATAAGACTTCACATCTGAGCTAAGTTATACAAACCTTAGAAAGTGATGGAAATGTCTAGCAGATCTGTCTGGAACTGTTGTACCTATTCAGAGGAGCAAATATTTCCCATAATTTTTTAACAAGCTAAAAATAATTCACTACTTAAGAATAAGACCCGAACTAAATATATAATCTAACTGCAGAAATAGTGAATTTCTAGGAAAGGACCCTTCTTTCATTGCACTCGTCAATAAAATTCTCCACAGGACTAGCTGTCTTATGAAGAACCTAATTATGTCAGAGCTTCACCTGTAAGATTTTGTCGATTTCTAAATCGAAATAGTTACAAAAGACAACATGGAAAAAACTTTGGGAATACAATGCCCCTATTTCGTCATTTTACCACATCTTAGAACCAGCAAAGATTCAGAGAAGTGATTCATTCAAATTGATGTCAAATGTAACTGGGTGTAATTTATCAGTCTGGAATTAGCAAGAAGTATTTAGCAGCTAACACTTTGTCTTATGACAAAAATATATCTATCAAGAACTTTTCCCAAGAGCCGCCAGTAAAAAAATGTGCTTGTAAACAAGGAAATAATACGAATGTAGTATTCATGTCTTTGAAAGTCAATACTTGCTCGAGTTAAGTACTAACCTTCACCGATGTTTTCAAACTTCTATTCAGTCTCCAAGACTTGAGTGTCAACATAAACACGATTTTTCTTGATAACTGTTCTTAGATTTCTTTTTTCACGCGATCAAAAATTAGAAAAGTAAAGATAGTGATATTTTTGGTTGTCGCGTGCGTCTGATGTCGATCTTGAACAAACAATCAGTAAATACACCGAGGATTCAACAGGCTCTTCCGAACACAAAACCTCTGCAAGGAGCACCCTTTAAAATCCCCCTAAACCTATAATGTGATCAATTCACATGTCTGGGTATATAACACGAGCCCTCAGAGAAAAACCGGTTCGAAACTGCTACGTGGGTTTATCAGTCGATTGATCCAAACTCTGGGATAAACACTTACCTCGAACACAATAGTCTGGTGGCCTTGTTTTCTAAAGGCTAGAGAACTAAGACTCGACACGAACCCCTTACGATTCAGATTGTGCTCTTTCGCCGAACGTTTTGTTGAAGCATCCGATTCATTTTGCACGCGAAAACTTGCGACGCCACATGGCTTGCAACCTAAATATGGTTTTGAAACATGCACGAGGAATGTTGACTAAAGGCGAACGAAATTTCTCAGCAAGCAATTTCAGAGATCGTAACAATTCTTTCATCAATCTAACAATAGGAGACATAATTTGGGATAGTTCTTTGCGCAAAAAGAAGCCAAAAGACTCTTTTTGGGTAGAAGGTCGAAACGCATGGCGTGAAAGCTGAGTTTTGAGTTTAACCCACATATAACGGATGTGTAACCACACTTCAGGCTCGAGAACAAACCCCGCCCCGGGTGAGCGGGGTGCTATGCAAATTACAAGAGTTCCCGGCTGTACTCAACGAACGTAAGTCAAACATGTGATTTCCTACACTAATAGAAATTTCCTCATTGTTCATTTGCAAAATGATTAAAAACAGCCTGATGATGGACTGTAGCTTCCTACACAAGTTGTTGATGCTTAAGTTAGTGAATCAAGCACGCGTGTTTTTGACAGACTTGCAAAAAGTCGAATGGGTCTAAGAGCAAGACTTACTTCAGCCCTCGAGCTGACCTTAAGGATTTAGTTTCCTGAGTAAATTTGTGCCACTAAAAAGCATAAATCATTTAAGAATTAAGCAATTGGCATGGAGAATTAGTTGATCTATCTACAACTGTGATTGTAGAGACAAAAGAAATAAGGAAGGAATTATAAAAGAAAGGAAGACCATATGTAGTCACCATTGCAGTTTTCCTGATTGCTCTGTCTGTGTTCTTCTTTAAAATTTGTACCTGAAAGAAAGCAGTAAAGATCTATGAATAAACTCAAGTTGCGCACTCAGACTAAAGAACCGAGAAAAATGGAAAGAGACAGAAGTAACAATTATCCAATTTGAATTATTAGCCATTTAAGACATGAAAAAATAGGAGCAGATAGAAATTGTTGCACCACACCATTTTGCCATAACATGATCTCGCCTCTTTGTTGATAAGTGTTTCCTTTCAGTAAGGAAATGATCGTACAGTATCTGTATAAAATTACATACTGTTAACCTATTTTGTAACCACTATTTTCTTCCCAAATGATAAGATTTTGTATGTGGAAACTGTAATTTTGACAATGGAACATCTTCCCTGTCCCTCTCATGCTTCAGCTGCCTCAAATTTTGGAACAAAATGCACCGAGTTTTCGATGTCATTGAATAAATACCAAACTGCTCCCAAAAAAAAAAAAAAAAAAAAGCCCTCTTTGCTGATATAGTAAATAAAAATATTCAAAGTAAGTTCAGAAGAGTAGCATATGAGCGTGAGTTGATAAAGTTCCTCTGATCAAACTTGAATGTTTCTGCTAACCTAATTGGCGTTTCATTTCACGAAGCTCTAACGGTTTTTCCTTCAGTTTCCTCTTTCCTCTTACTTTCGCGATAAAAAGATAAAGTGAAACTGAATGAAATGGCGACGAGTTTTACGCAAGTGTTGAAGCGAATCCGAAGTAATCTCTCATGATGACTAGTGTATGAACAGCGTCAACAGTACGCGGTCTGGAAAGCTTTGCATAAAATCTAGACAGTGCGAGACACAACAGCAAATACCTATCAGGAAACGATGAAAAAAAAGATTCTTTGTCAAAGTGTCCCTCTATTTTCAAAATAATCAATGTTCAGAAAACAGTGTTTTTCTTGTCTGATGAAACGATTGTCGACGATGGATTCATGTTGTATTGAGGATGACGGTGTAGGTCGACTAAAACCAACTGAGAAAACCTCGTGTTACTCAGACAGGTCGTGTCGGTTCATTTTTGTATGCAAATCGCAATCATCTTGATAGCAACGATTTGGAAAGAGGTAAGGCAATGTTTATTGTAGAAATACTGCAATAAATACATTTGAAACTCACTAGTATAATCCCAAGGAGGATTTTAGAGCGCGTGTACACCTCGTGCTGTAGCGTGTTTAGGAATCGCCTCTACTTGCCGGCTCCCTCTGCTGCTGCTGTTCGTATTGTTTTTCTATAACACAGACAAAAATACATTAGTACATAAATTCAAAATTGAATTATCTAGCAAGAAGGCACGAAATATTCGGTTTACAAGAAAAACGTTGAAATGCAATGAAGAAGTCACAACTCGATCAGGGCAGCGCGAATACATGTGGTATGATTCAGTCACAAATTACCACGAGTATTGACTGACTCTGGCCCTCTAAGAAAATGACAAAGCATTTTTCATGTTGTTTGTATGAGATTTAGACTTTCAGATCTTTAAAAATCCATCGCTCATTTCTTGCAAACCATCATATAATGCAGTTGACAATAACTTGTGGCTTAGTCAGTCTGGCTGTTGCAAACTTACATCCGAAGTACGGCGCTTTCAGCATCTCTCAAATTTTCTCCTTCTTTAAAAACCAGTTCGCATATGTTGCCTGAATATTAACGACGCTGATCTATTTTCTAACAGACTTTTGAATACAATGGTTTTTTCTAGCTGTGAGCTGATAAGGGAATCTCACTCAGACAGCCAGGGTTCAATTTCAATGACTTTCTCCGCCAGTTAATTTAGAGACTAAATAGGCAAGTAAGATTACATCGTTGTAATAGTTACAAGCTACAAAATATCGAAACTCAGCCCATCTTCTTTTGCTTTGTTTGACAAAATCTCCGACCTGGTTTGCTCAACTTATCTCACCATCGCTTGTTCGTCACATTAAAGTTGTCCCGTTCTGTAATCGAACAGAATCCCATCGGATATTTTACCTTCCTTTGGCGCAAGTGCAGAAAATGTTCTATTTGTACATTTCACTCGCTGCTTTCTCTCAAAAATCACGCAAATGCCAGGACAATGATGCAATTGGCCGGTCAACATTTGTATATTCCAATGCAAAGTAAAACATATTTTGACAAAGAGATTTCTCGATATGACACACAACTTCGAGCCAGTCGGTATGTACGTCTGGTGTGAACTCTATAGGAAATAATTGAAATGTTCATAATTAACAGCGTGAAGTTATGTAGTATGTAGAAGTTTGGTACCTTGATAAATTGTAATTTCCATTTCTGCGTGAGGTTCGATGGTGTCACACATCGGTGGTCCAAAAAAACCGTTCTTCTCGTCCTAACGTTTTCTAGTACTCAGCGGTCGGACTAAAAACCTCACTGTCTGGGAAAGCACAATTATGCAAATTTCCGTCGGTATGCAATTCAAATATCTCCGTCTAATTATCTTGCTGTTATTACGATATCTGCCGTGCTGAAAAAAAAAAGCCCGCTTTCTCGAAAAAGTAGCTTTTATCCAGGTGCCAGGGTTGAAAGACCCAGACAAAGAAATTTGATCGTTTTTATCGAGTTTTATTTCGGATCTCGCATAGCGGCCAAAACTAGACGTGACGGCGAAATTGAAGAGTTTAGTTAAACAACATTGCTAAACGAAGAACAATGACATTTTATTTAGAAACAACTGGATGATTGTGACGCCAGGGTATTCAGCAAATCCATATAACCTTGATTCGTAACAGATAGGGAAATGTTAATACTTTAGAAACAATGACAGCATGTCGGTCGTTGGTCGCTGAGTTCCTGTGATGCTTAAACACAATATAACTTCCGGTGGTGGAACGCAAACGGTACCAAAACAATAGAATTTCCAGACGAATATTTTTCCCCGGTCAAAGGTATCTTTTTGTTGTGAACTGTCATCGAGTAAAGCGAAACCTATATACCTTGACGAGGTCGATTCCACTGCAGATAAGATAAGATGGTGGAAAATCAATCTTCAAGGCTTTTCATTTCATTTAATTACTGATTTCAAACGGCATTTGTTGGCGCGCGTGTTCTCTTCGCGACGCTTTCGTGACATTCTGAAAGATGACACTCTGTAGGCATTCGTTGTATGATAACGAAAACACGCCATCCCGTTTGGCATTCCAATCACGCTATTTTCTAGACATAGCGTGACGTTTGAGTGACAGTCATTACATAACAGATGTGATGGACGCGATAGAGAGCAGGTCCGTAAGGACTCTCGGCTTTGCTAAATCCTAATAAAGAATGGCCCATTCTTTAAAAAGTATTTCATTCAACACAGTTTTCTTCAATACGTGCATTGTCCTTCTTCGCCTCACTTAAGTTTTCGTTGTTATGCTAAGCAAGCTGGTTTACGATTGCAGCGGAAAAATCAATCTCTCTCACTTTAAAATGACAATAGCATAAACTCTTTTATTCAAATTCTGCTCGCATTCTGACTTATCAGCATGGAGAAGAGACAATACAGGTGTCGAATGTATAAACAGGATTGATTTAAGCCTCAGATCGTGAGTAAACACAGGTGTCTAAAAGGGTTATTAACTTAAAGGTTTAAAACCTCCATTACATTGTAAAGAGAAGTGGTCTATCATCTGAAGAATTCGTCGAAAGGTTGGGACTTTTTAATTTGTACTCTAAAGTCCTCAGGGGTTCCGTTCTGTGCTGCCGAAAATAAACAGAATTTATACCTATAGTAACCAGACGGTTTACGAGTAGTTTGATGTTTACATACCGTTTAATACCTCTCAAAATGACGGTTTCGGAATGAGTCAAAGTGACCCAGACTAACGATCCACAAAAAATTAGTATCAATTACTTAACAATTACGATCTTTAAGTAGGCCATCGTAATTTATGCGCATGCTTTGTAAGCACCACTCTTGCGCAATGACATCAATTCAAACACCTTGCTCATTGTTACGTTCTTCATGCGACCGTTGAAATCTGATCAATATTTCTCTCTCATGGCTGCCTTAAATTCCTCTGTAAATTAGTGAGGAGAGTCAAGATAACATCCATAAGTTGATAAATTCGTTTATAATGACTGAGATATTACGAGAGCACTGATTGGTCCAAAACCTTCTATTCATTACACCGGAAAATCCATGGAAAATTAAAGATTATTTTATAAAAGCAATAGACCGCACTTCCTGTTGGTTTACCAGCGTGGCAACCCTCTTTGGATGCTGGGAGAACACGATAAAAAGTTGGTGAATCACGAGCCGAAGGCGTGTTTCCCCAACATTCCACATGCGTTGTTACGCCGGTTAACTAATAGAAAGTGCTGTCTGATTTATTGCTCTCATGACTCGTGAGATATTGTGTGTTTCGACGTCTTAGTTGAACAGATCAAAAACTATGAAGTAATCGAGGCGCCAGGGCTCTTTCTCCATTCTCTGTTGCAAAATGTTGTATTTTCTACAGGTTCCAGGTTACAGAGTGTTTAGTCCGCAGCATAAACGCACATGTGTGTGTATACTGAACTTATACACTGGGACCGAAAAACTGCAAAGAAAGCATGTAGTAGGTGTGATTTGCTTTTGATATCTTTCGGGATATTTCGTGATTTTAACTGACTCAGCTTTATTGGATATTTCGTGAGATTTCGCGGGATGACTGTACATACATTGTCCTCCCCCCTTACGTTACTTCACTTTAGCGCAATTTTCCACTGAGTGTCGAAAGTAATCCGCGATTGTATGTTTTTCTCTACTGCGCTCTGTGATTGATTCAGAAACTCGCGCCACCTTTTCGACTAACCAGATGCAAAACCAAAGCCAAACGTTGTGGTTGGCTCCTATGATATTTTCCTCTTTTCTAATTGGCTGTTGTGATCACTGTGGTTTTGGTTTCACCAAACTCATAGAAATGCGCTGTGCTATGCCATTTAAAGAGTAGAACTTCCACACTTATGTTGGTAGTCATTTATTTAATCCAACAAATGCACTTAGCTTGAAAATCTTAAATACGACGCACTTTATTTATTCATGCTGTATGTACAGAAACATCCAAACGCTTTGAAGAATTGAAACTTTGTACCATGCTATCGTCGTGTTTCATTGAGAGAAATGGACGGAAATGTTAATTGTATTTTTTTTTTGGCTCGAAAAGAGGAGAACGTAGGCGATGTGCTTTGGTGAAGAAGGAAAGGTCTCCCAGAGTTTCGGTTCGTGTTCGGCGCGGCTTCGTTACGTCGTAAAAGCAGCGGGATTAGCGTGTACCAGTTCCATCGCTCGGAAAAATCTATCGCAGAGGTCGCGTGAGCTTGATGGTCGTATAATTGGCGGTGCTTTGATTTCAGAGCAAGATTCACTTGTGACATCAAGAAGCTTTGGAAGGTATTCTTCAAGTTTGACACGATGGCGATCTAAATAAAAAAAAAAGTGGTAATTTATTCAAACTGTTTCATATTAAATTGTGGTAGGGTTGGTCAAGTAGCTTGAACCAATACAAGGTCTTGTATAATAAAGGCATGTCAATCATTCTAAATTATTCGACCTCCATGTTTAGAGCACTTGGGTTACAGCGACACTTGCGGAATTAATTCTACTCAAACTCATACAAAGTGCTCAATCTCTCAGTTTAGCCCCTTCTCGCCAACCCTCCCCTGTATTGCGCTAGAACATTTACTATCAGAAAAATTATAAAGAGGGAGAAGCAAACGGTTAGTGTCTTTTTCACTGAAAAAATAGGGTGTACTTAAGATCGTCAATGAATGTAATACTAGTGTGCTTTACCATAGCCAAATAGCTTTGGACTTTCCATATATGCTCAACTCCAATTCCTAAAAACTGCTCGAATTATGAAAATATCAAATTGATATTTCTCCCAGAACTTGACTTGACCTGACTCGAAATTTTCAGTGATTGTAGACACAAGAACCCATTCATACCAGAAAAACAAGTTTAGTTTAAGGCGGGTTTAACTGAATGAAAATCAGATGGGATGGGATTCAAGTAATTACGAACTTGCATTTTCAATGGGCTTAATTCAAAATTAAAGCAACCTCTATGAATAAACAATTTTAAACCGTGTTTAAAAAGGCAGTTTTAAAACATTTTAATCTTTGGTGCGAATGGAGCATGGGACTTGCAAGGGTTTGTCACGTAATCTTGCGTGACGGAACCAGTTGACTCACCATCAAGAGGTAATCCCAAGAAGTTACACCAGCAGCTTCTGACCTGTTCCACAGCGGCGGCATCGTCGGCCTCCTGTGACGCAATGAGTCGAGGTATACATGGCACCACCAGTTCGCTGACTAGCTCCAGACCCGCGCATACCGATTTCCAATCGTTACCCTCAAACATCCTTACTGCCAACTCATTCAAACGGAGAAAGCAAACGCGCCGGTAGTGAGCCAGCAGTTTCTCGTCCATGGCTTGGCCGGGCAAGTCTGGGTTGAAAAGCTTGGAATTCAGTGTACACGCGTGTACCAAATAGGGTAATGCTTCACGAAATCTGCAAACAGAATCATTTTTGAAAACTTAACGTTGGGTGTAGTTCCTCTGACAAGTGAGTTACCAATAATTTAAATGGTAGAAAGGGTTTAAATTTCGAGTTCATTCCACAACCTTAGAACAAAACAGCAAATTAAAACTGGAAAAAGTTTGAAAATAAAAAGGTATGATACACAGAAGGAATTGTTCAGTCTAAGGAAAGTTGACATATATAAGCCAATGACCATGTCAAATTAACGTTTTAGGTTCCTTAGATTCCAGAAAAGGGGGAGAGAGTGGGTGATCATTTAACGGTCAAGTCACCTAATGAGATTCCAGACATTCTAAGAGGGCACACGCTTAAATTTACTAAATGGCATAAATGTCTCCTAAATAAAGCTACTGAGCTCTGCTTCACAAAGAATGTACTATGATGTTGTATAGGGTGTTACAAACTTTAATTCTTCGGATCAAAAGTGACGAGCTTTGATTGATGTAGTTAACTTGTACGTACTTCGAATTGTGTAAATGCTCAAGACCCGTCAGGAAACAAGAATTCACTTTTTGGAATTGGCTGTATTTCTCTTTCCAACCCTGAAAAGGAAGTAGATACATGAAACCATGATCCCCTATCGTACCAAGATCGATTACTGTAGCTTTCCCGGTTGCACTTCGGGAGGGCAAATGTTACCCATTAAATTTAAAAAGGTTGTAACCTGATGGATTTTACGAGAAAATTACCCTAGGAGAAGAGTCTTCCTGCAGCTGAATGCGCAATTGACAACAGAGTCAAGTCATCGTAACTTTCAATAGGTACAATGGCATATAACAGAAAGGAACAATAAGCACTCAAAACAGAGGTGAACGCGCTTGAGCGCGGGAAAATGGACGTGGCTTAGTCAACGAA